GTCACAAAGTGCTTCACATGATAACATAAAAACAACACAAGTAAAAACAGATAAAATGCAATAAAAGCTAAAATAAATAAGGGAATAAAACAAAACGCTATGTGCTTTGGAAGGCTAGTGAAAACATGTGTGTTTTTAGCTGTTTTTTAAAGATGTCCACCGAGTCCAGAGAGCGCAGGGACAGGGGGAGTTCATTCCAGAGACGGGGTGCCACCGCTTTAAAGGACCGGTCTCCTCGGGTTTTAAAGCGGGTCCGAGGAACCATAAGCAGGTTTTGACCTGAAGACCTTAGGCTACGGACCGACGTATACGGCTGGATCAGACCTGTCATGTAGCCAGGCGCCTGTCCATGAAGGGCCCTGAAGGTAAGGACCAGGATTTTAAACTTTATCCTGGAAGCAACAGGAAGCCAATGTAGGGACTTGAAGAGAGGATTTACATGGGCTGTCCTATTTGTGCGGGTCAGGAGTCTTGCAGCAGAGTTCTGGGCAAGTTGTAGGCGACCCAGCTCCTTCTTGCTCAGACAGGTAAACAGGCTGTTACAGTAATCCAGTCTTGAAGAAACAAAAGCATGGATGATTCTCTCCAAATCATCGTGAGAGAGGATTTTCCTTACCTTGGAGATATTGCGCAGATGGAAGTAACAGTTCCTGATCAGTTGTTTTGAGTGTAGCGCAAGGGACATCCCCTCATCGAAAATCACTCCAAGATTACGCAGACTGGATTTGGCTGAGGAACATAGATCACCCAGGTGCTGTTTAATGTCAGGGATGGCACTGTCAGGAGCAATAATGAGTGACTCAGTCTTATCAGTATTCAGTGCAAGATAGTTGTCGTTTAACCACTGCTGAATCCGGGACAGACAGTTCATCAGAGAGTATAATTTGTGGACCTCTGAGGTTTTAAAGGAGCAGTACAGCTGTATGTCGTCAGCAAAAGATGGTATGCCACATCACTGTGCTGCTGGATAATCTGGCCAAGAGGGAGGAGATAAAGTAAGAAGAGAAGTGGTCCCAAGACTGAGCCCTGTGGAACACCATACTGGAGATCTCCCCGCTCAGACATCATGTCATTGACTGCCACACTGAAGCTCCTACCAGCTAAGTAGGAAGTAAACCACTCCAAAACTGGACCTGTCATTCCCACCCAATCCCGCAGCCGGTTTATCATGATGGAATGGTCGACCGTATCAAAGGCTGCAGACAGGTCTAACAGGACCAGTACCGTACAGCTTCCGGAGTCTGCAGACATCATGATATCACTAGACACTAGACAAATTTAACTTCTATCCTCCAAGAATAGAATTTGACGTTGTAACCAGAGCCATACCCCATGGGATCATCACCCTACTTAGAGAAGAGAAAGAATTATATCACAGGAATGTTCTTGTCTCCAGCAATATTTCAATAAATGGTTTATCTTTTCTAGACAGAAAAGTCAACAACAAAGTTATTAAAAACCTTCTATGTGAAAACTCTATCCCTGCTTCCAGGTACAAATGCCCCCCCCTGTATGAAAACAGGGAATAGAGCCTGGAGTAACCCACATACATTTTTAATTACAAACAAAGTAAAGAAAATAACATTTAAAATCCGTCACCATTATTACCTCTGTAATAAGCTGATTTCACAATTCATCCCCACTGTAGATGAAAAATGCTCCTTCTGCTCTTTGGAAATAGAAACATTACACCATTTATTTTATAGCTGTTCACATAGCTCTTCTCTGTGGAATGATATGCAATCCTTAATTAATGGTCACTTTGGATCAAACATACTTTTATCCAGTTTTCACATTTTCTTTTATTTTTCTGACTCAAACCCCTCTATACAATATAGAGTCAATCTATTTATTTTTACTTGGTAAATTCTTTATCCATAAGTCAAAATTTATGAAGAACAAACCTCTTTTCAGTGTTTTTAAAGTTGACTTAAAAGATTATATAATCTGTATTTCTGGATTAAAGGGTAAATCAGCATCAAAATGTTTACAACATTTATAATTCATTTTACTAATACTTATTTTTTGTTACTTTGGCTATGTTGTTTAATTGTTGATGTTGAAAATTGTCTTTTATGTATTTACTTTATTCTCTTTGTCTTTGTTTTCCCTTCATGCAAACGTGAACTTTAACTTTTTAATTTTTGTAATAAAAAATTAACAAAAAAAAAAAAAAAGAAAAAGACCTGCTCTGTCCTAGGATGACCTCTGGATTCAGAGGAGGCGGAACAACTAACAGAACTTCCCTGTTGGACCCATTTGATGACAGACTGCAGCACCTTAGATGCACAAAGGAGCATTTCCACCAAGGGCGAAGGTTTGTTTTCAACTTTGGTAGGGACACTATTGGTCACCATTGGTCCTATGCGAAATGATGCATGCTCAATTTTTATGCTTGACATGAAAATCAGGGTGTATTTTGTTTACAGAAAAAAGCAGCATTTCTTGCTATATTTGTAAAACTTTATAAGCGCTACAAACACTAGATGCTGTTTATCAATGTTTGAAGCATCATCGGTTCTGATGAATGAGGAATTACGACTTTTTTTCCACTTTGAAAAGGTTTGTACGGAAACCCTCTGATGACATGGTCAAAAAAATGTTTAATTGTGGCCACGAAGTAGTATTTCGTGCGCACGAAGTAGTATTTCGCGGCCACGCAATAAGTATAACGTGCGCACGAAATACTACTTCGTGGCCACGCAATAAGTATAACGTGCGCACGAAATACTACTTCGTGGCCACGCAATAAGTATAACGTGCGCACAAAATACTACTTCGTGGCCACGCAATAAGTATAACGTGCGCACGAAATACTACTTCGTGGCCACGCAATAAGTATAACGTGCGCACGAAATACTACTTCGCGGCCACGCAATAAGTATAACGTGCGCACGAAATACTACTTCGCGGCCACGCAATAAGTATAACGTGCGCACGAAATACTACTTCGTGGCCACGCAATAAGTTTAACGTGCGCACGAAATACTACTTCGTGGCCACGCAATAAGTTTAACGTGCGCACGAAATACTTATTAATAATATCAATAAATCCGCCCCTGTTTTCAGGCTTATGTTAACTGTAATGACTTATCTTGGACAGGCTGCTATGTAAACGGGCCTTTAGTCCTTCGTTTAGCTATGCTGCGGTTGTTTACACCACGCCTTTTCCACCTAAAATGGCGTCTTAGCAACAAATGTCACGTGACTGGCGGAGACCGACTGGGTAAGCAAATCGAGTGCGCCTTAGACCTTAGAGAAGGCGTGCTCGATTTGCTTACCCAGTTGTCCCGGAATGATATTAATATTATTAATAAGTATTTCATGCGCACGTTAAACTTATTGCGTGGCCACGAAATACTACTTCGTGGCCACAATTAAAAATTTTTTTTGACCATGTCATCAGAGGGGCTCCGTAGGTTTGCATTTGAAATGACCGGCAACTAAGATACAAAGTAAATCTGTGCCTATTCAACAAAATATAGTCTAAATATGTCTGTTATATGTGGATTATCCTGTTTTTCTTTTGAAGATATACAATTGTGCAGAGGTAAAACCCACTCTTATCTTTTAAATATTCTCTCTGTATCAAGCAAAATGATAGATTAAAGGGACATTTATTGTATAGTTACTCTATTTACCCATATCATGTATTTTTATCTTGGGCTGAAACAATTCATAGGAATAATCGATTATTGAAATTTCAGTGAATCGTTAACCGGAGTATAGAGACTCTAAAACGTGTCTGTAGATCACAGAGCGACTCACTTAGAGCAGGAATTATACCAAAATTGTAAAAACATTTAAACAAAAGTGTTTTCGTCTGTCAATATTCTCCATCCAGAACTCCTCTACAGCTGCAACAACGCTGTATTGTAAATTATAAACATGTTATTCACATCTAATTTTTGGTAGGGACAAGTAGGTTGGTCCAAACTTTTTGGTAGGGACATGTCCCTATGGTCCCTATGCAAACCTACGCCCATGATTTCCACAGATCCTTCCTCCAAGCTGCTGTTATAATCTGTGCCTCCGGGTCCTAATCTGATCAATTATTTGTTGATCAGCTCCACATTTTTTGCAGATGTTAATGATTATTTGAATAGTTTGTTTTGTTTTTCTACTCTTTTTTCTACAGTCTTGTTTATTGCTCAGTTTTTCCACTTTGTTCTGTTATTCTTATTTCTACCGGAAAACGCCTTTAATATTAATAACTGCACAGTAGTTGTTTCCCCTTTTTGTTTGTCATCTTCATCCTCTTGAGTCAAAGGAAAAATGTCTTCACTTGTAAAAAAAATTACTTCCACAAAGATAGAAAGGCCAAGTTTTAGTTTCCTTTTTACTTTTTGTGTCAAACTGTGGATGAACTTCAGCCAATATTGAATTAATCATCAATTTAACCCTTTAAATCCCAGTTTAATTATATTATAGAGATAGATTTACTCTAAGATACTTTATACATAAAACACATGTTAGGCACCTGGAGAGTTTCTTTTTATTCTTTTCATTTTGGTTCAGTTTTATGTCTCTTTAATTGTAAATTGCATCATCTTTTAAAAGTCCTATTAAACCCATTTTATAACCTTTCCAGCCACTGTGATAGAATGACGAAGCTAAATGTTTAGTTTCGTTTTTAGAGAAAAAATGTTTTGAAATAATCACTTCTGTGTTTCTTTAAACCACATGATGTTTGGGTCAATAATATGTTGAGTTTATCAGATGGAGAGTATCCTCCTGAGGATCAGAGCGTCTTCATTTTAGGGAGATTTAACAAGCATTTTATAAATAAATAGATTTGTTCGACTGGACTGAATTTTTGCTAATATATTTTCCAAAATGTCTGCGTTTTTTCTGTGTTTTTAAAAGCCTTTACGCTTGTTGGTGTTCACATGATGTCATTAATGTGTGCGCAGAATATAAACCCTGAACATTTGCATGTTGCTAAAGTGAAAGGCTTGTAAAGGTCGAGCTGTTGAGCGGAGTTAGTCCGGAAATTCCCCCGAAGTGGCAGATTTCCGGGAATCCCGTGAACGCCTCATCGTCCCGCAGCTGAGCTCAGAGCGAAAGTTGGAGAGAAGTGACAGAAAGCAGCAGATCAGCAGAGGAAGAGACGCTCGTAGAAGTTTCTCTCACTTTTATCATTTCAGGGTTTCATTTCTGCAAGCAGGAGCAGAATGTCGCCTTTCCTGTTTGCATAAAATACAGTTTAGTCGAGCTTTGAAAGCCTGAGACGCAGTGACGGACAGACTGGGACCAGCAGACATGGTGAGTCTGGGGGTGTGTGGATCTGGGCTTAGGTTACTTGGTTGAAGGGGAAACCAGCTGGGATTTACTGGGCAGAAAATGGTGCCTAAATGTTTTTATGGCTTCCTTTATTCTGGTCAAAGTCCTTCATGCAGACTGAGCAGGACAAGGTCACCTTAATCAGCTATTATTCACTGACATTTCAATCAAAACACCCCTAAAACAGCAGTTTTTATACAGTATATATTGTTTTTTTTACAATAAAAACAGAAAAATATGTAATTGTAAAAGCTATGCAGTATTTGTTTATTTAACCCCTTCAATTAAGTCCTCGGTCATTAGAAATAATAATAAACAAACAAAAAAACAAGTAAAGAAGCCTGATGGAGCTCTTTAACTAAAATGCTTTGAGGAAAACGCTGCATTCAGGTGTTTCTGAAATGTTCAGTCAGATTTCTGCACCTATTGATGGTGTGTTGGTGAAATGTTCACCAGCGAGGTGCTCAATGAGTCTGAGACTGCTTTGTTTGACTGTCTTTAAAACCAAAACTAAATATCAATATTTAAATTTACTGAATCAGTAGTAAATCATTGTCATTTATTTCCGTTTCTAGTTATTTGAATAATATAATGTATAATCCGTTTAATGATTGCCAGTGTAAAGAGGGAGAGGTGTAGAAGGAGGAGCAGAGGAGAGGTGTGAGCAAAGTGAAAGGTCAGGAAAAACCTGATATGAAAACAGAATAACAGCAAAGAAAAACATTTAATTCAGTGGATAATTTTCCATGTATCATAGAAGTCATTTTGGCACAAAAAAGAGAAAAGTTATTTCATGAAAACTGATTCAAAGGTTTCCATGAAATGAGTTGATTTAAAAGCTTTAATTGGTTGGAATATTCTTCTAAAAATGCTGCTTTTTGCTCTGCTTGTTGGGTTTTTGGCTCACGTATCGAATGCGATGCATTAGTGAACGATGGAGTCAGTCATTAGCAAAACGCACTGAACAAGTTTAAAAAATGTGTAGAAATCAATTAAATGAATCTTGTTCTATCAGACAGCTCTCTTGGGTTAGGGGTCATAGAACCGCCCCTGGTTACAGTGGAAAGCTGCAGCCAATGAAATGCAGGTAGATGGGAGAAAATAATAATCTATCATTTATTTAATGGTGCAGTTTGCTGAATAAACTCTGAAACAGACTGACTGCTGAAGTGTTGGTTCCTATTGCAAAGTTACACTAAAAGACTTCAAAAGATGGAGGAAAATTAGCTGTTAATATGGGCTGATGACATCATTACTCTGCTGCTGCAGAGCTGTTTGGATCAGGTATCAAGGCCACAGGTGAGGTTTGGGCAGGAAGGGCAAAGAGGAGGGGCAGGGTTGCTGCACTTTGACCAATGAAGCTGCTTCAGGTGCTCCAGGAGCAGAGGAGATTGCTTTATAGCTCTGTCTTAAACAGGCTTCCCCAAAGTTGGCTGCTGTCCTGCTGGTTTTAGAGGTTTCCCTGCTTTAGCACAGCTGATTCTGATGATTTCAGTGTAAATCAGCTGGAGCAGGGAAACAGGTCAAACCTGCAGGACAGCGGCCCTCCAGGTCCCACTATGGGGATGCCTGCTCTAAAGAGAAAATATATCGGTAAAGACCTGCTATGTTAAACCTTTGGAGATTAGAAAACAACAACAGGAAACCAGGAACAAGTTATGTGCAGGGGCGGAGCTAGATGGGGGGCCATGGCCACCTTTAGCCGATCATTGACCACCCCTAACGTTTTTTCCCTCTAATACAGATGGTGGCAGCAGCAATACTCTCAATATTTAAATTGTTCATATATATATATATACAATTAGTTGACAACAAAAACAGTTTATTTCTGCACGTCAGTTTACTAATATTAAAGATAAGCAAATAATTCATGCTCTTTTCAGAACTAGATGTTGTCTTATGGGGTAAAGACATTCAGTGAAATTACAGATAAAAAAAAATATTTTCATAAAAACGTATTAATCAATTTATTGATTGCTTGACTTTATTGGTCTCACAGTGGAGAAATTGACATTATTTCAATATTAGTACATGTAAATATCAATTTTATGCAGAATGATTATTGATAAAATTTAGCCTGACGTAGTCCTACTCAATTCTAGTCAGAATGAGTCTGATGCTGCTCCATAGAGCTGTGATTATGGGGCGTGTTTCGAACGAACCAGGAAAAAAATGCCTCTGCACTCAATTGGATAGACCTACAACCAATAAGAGCAACGGAGTGCGTGACGTATGTTAAGCGACGCATAGTTGTTGGCAACAAAATTCAAAGCGTGCAGTTGCACGCCTAGAATAAGAAGATGAGCCTTGATCGCGTTTCTCTGTTCCTCTTTTAAAATTAATTTGAATCTACTCACCTCAACTCTCCAGCGGCAGCCATTGTTGTTGTCACTCAAGCGCGCTTTGGTCACGTGGTTGATTACGTTACTGTTGATCATCTGTCCATCATCGCATAAAGCCCGCCCTGACAATTTGATTGGATCGCCAGATATTGTGCGAGCATACTCGCGCTACTATGGAGCAATGCCAGACCGAACTTCCCGACCTCAAACCTTGTGGGCGGGACTAAGTTCGGAATGGCACCCAGGCTAGATAACAGTAGGTAAATGATGACAATGGAAAACTTGTGTGCCTATTTCTAAGCAAAGGCTGTAGGAAAGAATAGTTTTTTATTTATAAAACATGAATGTTTTGCTCGTTAATTTTCCCGTTGGATCAGTCTAGATTGACCCTGAAGTTCTGGCTCCGCTTCCAGCCACCCCTCAGCGTACGCTGGTTACTACCATGGGCCCCCTTATAAAGACGTTCTGGCTACGCCTCTGCTTCTCTGGATTTCATTTACCTCTGAATGTAGACTATAGGCCCATTCATACCTCACGTAAAAGACGGATACGGATACGTGTGGAGTGTTTCATACGTTCTAACCGTCGATTTCGTCCGTACTTTGACACGAAAATTGGGAGCTTATGCTTACGGACGAAACGGATCAATACGGAGCAATACTACCGGAAACGGTGGGGGCGCTATTGAGTTTTTAGTACAAAATGTCAACAAAATCACAAAGAAGGTTAGAATTCTGGGCTTTAAACAATGGCGGGATTCGAGGAATGACTGTCGACTGATATTCAATGGCCTGACGTTCCACCGTCGATCTCGTTTTTTACTTTTCTTTCGCTTACGGAGCAAATGCAACAGAATCAGGTCTTGGACCATCGCCATGTTTTGATCAATGACGAATCATTGGCGCCCAGCACTGCCACCTAGAGGAAATACGGGTTATTGCGCACCTCAACGGACGGAGGTATGAAGGAGTCAACGGATAGAACGTACGGACAGAAATACGGACGTGCAGGCCAAACGTGAGGTATGAATGGGCCTTAAGGGTGTGATTTTTATGATCTGATTTCCCTCTGAGCTTCTCGGCTCAAAAAAATCTATTTTCATTCTGATTATGTCATTGAGCAGGCTATAGCTTCAGCCTGCAGGGCTTCCTTAAAGAAACAGGTCTGCATTTTAAATCTCTGTAGCTACAAGGTCACTACAGGTGATGATGGACATAAATGTAAGTTGTATTTTCATGGAGCGCTCAAGTTCTCACCAGCATCTCTGGACCTCTCTACCACCCCTACTTAGAAACACGGACTCACTTCTCCATTTCAAATCACAACTCAAAACTTATGTTTAAAATGGCCTATTCTTTGTATTTTTTTATTTCTTTCTTTTTTTTTTATTGTTTTTAATGTGTTTTGACATTGTTATATGGAGGACCAATCCTGCCATGATTAAAAATACAGAAATAAATTAATTACTTAATAATATAACATTTCTTGAAAAAGTAGGTAATAATAGGAATTTGTGTGCCATTAAATGTGACAAAATAATAAAAATAAGATGCTGTACATTTTTTAAATTATGTCAAGATTAGGGATGCACGATATTGGGATTTTGGCCGATATCCGATATGCCGATATTTTAAAACTCATGTAGCCGATAACCGATATCGATACCGATGTTAAAGCTGGACAAAAATAAGTAGTCATTGAAAATAGCAGTTTTGTTATCCATTTCTGACACTTTGAAAAATAATATACTCAAATATATTTTCATATGCTGATATCAAACTGATTTTTAAAAACGCGGTATCGATCTATTTTACTTTCAAAATATCGTGAAATTTCATCGTTCTGTTACAAACTCTCGTGATATTTTGCAAATTCTTGTGAGATTTTGTTAGTAAAATAGATCGATACCGCGTCAATATATCAACATATAAAAATATGGCAACATTTGGTGAATTTTCGGGGGATTTCGTAGCATAACGATGACATATAGCAATATTTCATTAGTAAAAGAGATTGATATGGTGTTTTTAAATGGCAATATATCAGCATATGAAGATATTGGGATATTTTAATGTATCAATAATTTTTCCGTCGTCTTTAGAAGTTTTTAAGTCTGTAAAAAAGAAGTTTTTGAAGAAGAAGAAGTAGTATTAAATTTTTTTTTTTTTAGACTTTAAAAACTCAGAAGCTGATCAAATATCGGGTTAAATATCGGTGGGGTGGCCGATGTCCGATATTCAGTTTTAAGGCCGATACCGATAGGGGGCCGATTATATCGTGCATCCCTAGTCAAGATTGGTCCTCCATATATTTCTACCATTGTGTTTTTATCTTTGTACGGTGACCTTGAGAGTCCACAAAGGCACCTTGGAAATAAAATGTATTGTTTAAATGTATTAACTTTTCTAAATGACAAACAGAAAAATAAATCTGTAAAAGTTTGTTTTGGTTTCTGTTACAGTTTCAGACTGTGGAACCGGTTTACAGCCACTTATCTTATATGGATCCTGTCCATGCAAATATAGAGGGAGGGCGAAGGAACATGAACTTTGATGTCATAAGAGGAATCACTAAAGTATTTCACTTTCTTTAATAAGTAAAAAGAAAAGCGTGTTTTGAGTAACAAACCAAACCTAAAGTCTGACTGATTTTAGAAAAGTCTGTCTGAAGGCTTTAAATCGGCCGTAACCATAAACCATCCTGCGTCACATCTTCGACTTCCTGGTTACAAACCAAGTTTAAACTGGTTTGACCAGCTTTACTGGTGTAGACATGAGGGAGGGAGGAGAGGAAGGATGGGAGGAAAGCACCGGCTTCAGTTCCTGTGTTAATTGAGCTTTAAACAACACTATTGTTTGGCTGCTAAGAAGGTTCTCTGATCAGGGATAAATCACTCAGCAGCAGAGGATGACGACGGAGATGATGACGACGACGATGATGATGATGATATCAGAGGCGCCGTTTAGAGAAGCACAGTAAATCCATTCGATGCCGAGTGTGTCGCTGTGTTTCCTCTTCCTATTATCTTGTCAGATGCTGATTTCCTGTCGTGGCTCAGAGGCCAACGTGAGCGAGAAAATAGCTGTGAGGTTCAGGCCTGGTTGAACATCCTGCTGATCGGATGCTTTCCTTCATCCTAGAAGACGTTTCCTGTAGCTTCTCTTCTGGCAACTTTCATTTCTCACTCATGTTTTTTTTTTTACGGAAAATAACAAAACAAACTAACAAAGAAACTATTGAAACAAACATTTCAAGATCAGAAAGTCCATTTAGCCTTTAAAAATAAAAGAAAAAAATATATACACACCCCTTCATGCTTCACGAAATCAGCTGGATTACAGATTATTCCAAAACAGCTGAGAGTGTTTTAGTATTCAGACCTGCAGACAGACCGGGGTCACCCAAGGACACCTTTCTAATCCATCTGCCTCAAGGCTGATTTATACTTGGAAACCAGGTCGTCTGCGTATATGTTGCAGTGAACAAAAAGCCGTCCCCTCCACAGACACTCCGCTGCACCTCTCCCAAATAGGCCGGCTTGTTTTGTTTTTATGACCGAAATTGCGGGAAACGACTCGTGAAGTTTGACCCGCTAGAAGAGCGAGGTGCACGAGAACGCTGGGACCCTTTTTCCACCTGGATCTCCGCTCTTTTTGGCCCTCATGTACCTCCGTCGTCGGACTAAACTCGCCCCCACTTCCTCGCCGCCTCGGCCGTATCTAGACCCACAGTGTGTAGCTCAGACCACGCTTCAATATTGAGCATAAATCAAAACTGTCTGCATCAAGCTCACTGCAACACACTGCTGTAAGAGTATAAACAGGAAGCGAGGTAGGAGGGCAAAATAGGTTTAGCGCCACCGCAGCACGGGAGGAGAATTACGCCCAGGAGCAAATGGATAAAAATAGACCGGAGGAAAAAAAAAACATGAATCGATTCTCTTGCGGACGAATCGATGCATCGGATCGTCGGCTGTTGGATCGATGCATCGATACAAAACGATTATTATTTACACCCCTAAGGGTGACCCAGACGCGTCTATGGACGCACTAATGAGCTGATGGGGGGACGGATTGGGTAGTGACAGGGACACCGCATCACTGCAGGCCGGCTGGAATATGGCAGCAGGTGTAACAGCGAACTAGTGATGGAGGAAACACGTATATTCAAATGTTAGTTCTGCTAATTTAATGCAGCTTCATCACACTGACTGAAAATCACAGGTTGGGAAAAAAAAATGGGCGGTCCTCTTTAAAATAGTTTTATTGGCTGGATGGAATTAATTTTTATTATTTTTATGTTTTACAATCTTGGTATAATTCCTCCTTTAAGTGGATCGCTCTGTCAGCTAAAGTCATATTTTACTGTCTCTATTCTCAAATTAACGATTAATCGATTACTAATACAGTTGACGATTATTTCAATAATCTATTAATCCGATTACCTGTTTCAGCCCTAATATATATATATATATTTATTTTACAATAAAATAACTTAAAAATATCTAAGAAAGGATTGCTTTTTTTCTTATTTCCATTTACAAAACTTGTTCTTTTTTTTGTAAAAATAAAATATATAACCAGCCTTTCACTCTACTCCTGCAGCTGCATGATGCTGCCACCGCTGTGCTTTACAGTAAGGGTAATGCTAACTAGCTGATGGTTATCCATGAAAGGAGAATTTATTTCAAATCAGCTCTTCTTTCTTTCGCCGGGTTGGGGATCTTAGTTTTGTCTCGATCAGACGACCTTTTGAAACCTTTTAGCAAAAATAAAAGCAGGTCATCCGATGCCTTTCAGCGAAACATTAAAAACACATGAATTCATTTCAGTTTATTTCTATAGCACCAATTCACATCAAGTGATCTCAAGACGCTTTACAGTTCAACCAGATCATCCAGTCAGATTGATTAAAAGTTTTCTATCTAAGGAAAACCAGCTGATTGCATCGACTCATTGACTCTTCAGCAATCCCTCACACTAAGCATGCTTGTAGCGACAGTGGAGAGGAAAAACTCCCTTTGAACAGGAAGAAACCTCCAGCAGAACCAGGCTCAGTGTGAGCGGCCATCTGCTGAGGCCCACTGGGGTTCAAGGAGACAGAAGCAGACATGGAAAAAGAAGCATAGATACAAAAGGCAACTGTCAACCAGCTCCACAGGCGGCCCCGTCCAGGAAACACACAGCCAGGCAGACGAGCTCCGAGCCAGCTCCCATGTCAGAGGATGAAGAGAGCACATCCAGTTAGTCACAGTCAGAGAAACAGGACTACACTGGAAAACAGGCCAAGCTCCAACATCTAGAAACAAAGGTGTTGATGGCAGCAGCACAGCTGATATTTCTCTCCAGGATGGAGTCACAGCCAAACAGGAACAGACCAGATGAAGCTACTATGAGAAAAAGCAGAGAGAGCAGAATGTTAGAGATTGAACTAACAGATTAGTGGGAGAATAGAGATAGAATGATGGAAAAGGGGTCCCTATGTCCTCCAGCAGTCTAAGCCTATAGCAGCAGAACTATAGAGATAGCTCAGGATAACCTGAGCCACTCTAACTAGAAGCTTTATCAAAAAGGAAAGTTTTAAGCCTAGCCTTAAAAGTAGACATTAATATTGATATACTGGTTGATCTGTAAAATCAAATAATTGTTGCATTGGTCATATTTTAGTTATTTATTTGCAAACATTTTAAACTATAATCTGTGATATTAAAACTGAAAAAATTCGTATTGATTTTAGGGATGCGCGATATTGGGATTTTGGGCGATATCCGATATGCCGATATTTTAAAACTCATGTAGCCGATAACCGATATTGATACCGATGTTAAAGCTGGACAAAAATAAGTAGTCATTGAAAATAGCAGTTTTGTTATCCATTTCTGACACTTTGAAAAATAATATACTCAAATATATTTTCATATGCTGATATCAAATTGATTTTTAAAAACGCGATATCGATCTATTTTACTTTCAAAATCTCGTGAAATTTCATCGTTCTGTTACAAACTCTCGTGATATTTTGCAAATTCTTGTGAGATTTTGTTAGTAAAATAGATCGATACCGCGTCAATATATCAACATATAAAAATATGGCAACATTTGGTGAATTTTCGGGGGATTTCGTAGCATAACGATGACATATAGCAATATTTCATGAGTAAAAGAGATTGATATGGTGTTTTTAAATGGCAATATATCAGCATATGAAGATATTGGGATATTTTAATGTATCAATATTTTTTCCCTCGTCTTTAGAAGTTTTTAAGTCTGTAAAAAAGAAGTTTTTGAGGAAGAAGAAGTAGTAGTATTTTATATATTTTTTTTAGACTTTAGAAACTCAGAAGCTGATCAAATATCGGGTTAAATATCGGTGGGGTGGCCGATGTCCAATATTCAGTTTTAAGGCCGATACCGATAGGGGGCCGATTATATCGTGCATCCCAAATTTATTTATTCTTTTCTTGTTAAAATAAGTTTGTATGCCTTTTTTTTGTCTTCTTAGTGTTGAATATTTTCCTGGGAATCAATCACTATTATGGTGACAGAAAAGGTCCATCCAGGAGAGAAGAACAGAACATGGCTACGGCAAGCCTGTGGAGACAAATCACCCAAAGCTCAAAGCTGCGATTGCTGCTGCAACAAAATATTAAGCTATAATGGAAATGTTAATAACACACTGGAATTAAAACATCTTTTAAGAATAAAAATCTTAAAATCTATTTTAGAAAAGCCAGTAAGACTAAAATGTGAAGGATTTAGTGAATCTGACTTTCATCACAGATCTTAAATCATAGAGTAAACATCTAATCAGTCTTCCCATAAACTCTCTGCTTGCATCATCTAAAAAATACAAACGTCCTTTTCTACGGCTACAGAATAAATTCCCATGTTTGTCTGATGTGTTCCAGGAGAACGGGAAGAACCGCCTGCAGCAGACGCAGGAGGAGGTGGAGGAGGTGAAGGGGATCATGATGGACAACCTGAACAAAGCGGAGGAGAGATCCGGAAAACTGAACGACCTGGAGCAGCAGGCTGAAGATCTGCTGGAGAAGGTAGCTGTGGAAGGGGGCAGCTCAGGAGGTTCATAGTCATTTTATATTATCTATAAATAAGCTGTAGGTGGAGCTGGGGGGGGGGAACAAATGTAGAATTTCCATCCTGATTGTGTTAGATGGTGCTAAGTTTAGAAAGGTATTTCCTTTTGTTTGCTGAGATAAACGGAGCAGGCTGGTCTCCCTGGGTACGGCAGAGAGGTTCCAGGACATGCCACAAGGCCGGCGTACGTCCGGGGGTCGGCAGGCGGGTCACGTCATTCAGTGTGCAGGGGGGGGATTTACCATTAGGCAATACTAGCAGTTGCCTGGGGCCCCAAGCTCCTGGGGGCCCCATAAAACTGTGTTTACATGTATGGGTAACACAACTATTCCTTATTTTTGCACATTAATTATGTTTTTTTAACAAAATCCTTTTGCTAAAATGCCATCAGAACGCTGGTAATATTAAGTGTGTCTCAGCCCCCCCCTTCAGTGTCCACCATATTGGATCAGTCCATTTGCTGCACATGTTCAGAAAGGTCCAAACAGACAGCAGCAAACCATTTGAAAACAAACCATGCAAAGAGCAGTGTTGCCAACTTAGCGCTTTAGTCGCTATATTTAGCCACTTTTCAGACCCCTCTAGCACTTTGATTTCTAAAAAGCTCCTAGCGCCAAATCTAGAGACTTTTTTCTGCTACTGGAGACTTTGGAGACAACATCTAAAAGCAGCGAACTCTGCTCTCCAGAGCGAGTAGATTGGTAACCCCGCCTCCTGCTCTCCTCTATCTTGTCTGCTGTCATGATTCATGCAGCTATTATTTCATCCAAATGAAAAATGGAGAACAGATAAGCAGATCATGGCTTGTCTACAGTGAAAAGAAGGACTGGGTTATTTACTTTGGCCTTTTTGGAAACACAGGAAGGAGCAATCAGCTAAGTGAGCTTAGTGCTTGGAAAAAATCTTTAATTCCTTTAGAGACAGCATGAAAAGTCAGCTGAGTACAAAACATAGAGAGGAAAACAAGAAGAAAAGGGACAAGAAGAGAGGGACACAACCTAGAACAGATAATGGATGTCTATTCTATAAAAAAATCTGTATGTATATAATGGGGTGTTTTATGTGTTGGCTTCTCAGTTCAGCGGGCCCCCTGCCTGTCTTTGCCTAGGGGCACAAATTTCCTAAATCCGCCCCTGGGTGTGTGTGTTTGCTGTTCCCCTGGAAGAGGAAGCGATCCGCTGCAAGGCACCAGCACCTCCATGTGGAGGATGTTTAACCCCTGATCTGCTGATGTTCAGATAAGCCACGCCCCCCTCTGCTGCTCAGCCTCACTCTCTGCATTTAAGCTCTAAACCCACAAAAGTAGGAAACACAAAATATCCTAATTCCCCAAGATTGTAATCACACTGATGGGTTAAAGGTGGGGCAGATGGTACTGGTTATGCCACTCTTGGCCACGCCCTTTGGGGTCTATTGGCACCGCCCACTTAGGTGGCTTATTTTTTGGGGCTCATATTGTGGAGTGGGTCGCACTTTAAAGAAGGTTTATTTGTAACACCAGATTAGGTATTAATTTTAGAAATGTTCTGCATTTATTGCACTTCAGAGAGCAGCCCCAGGAATTCAGTCTGTTTTTTATTTTCTGATTATGTGTTTTATAAAGAAACCTACGGAAGAGGATTAGGGCCACTGGAAAAAAAAAACAGTTAACTGATTTTTAAATTTTATTTCAGTTTAGTAGGAGAAAAAAGTCAGAATTCTGAGATTAAAGTCAGAATTCTGACTTTAATCTCAGAATTCTGACTTTTTTTCTCAGAATTCTGACTTTTTTCCTCAGAATTCTGACTTTTTTCCTCAGAATTCTGACTTTAATCTCAGAATTCTGACTTTTTTTCCTCAGAATTCTGACTTTAATCTCAGAATTCTGACTTTTTTTCGTCAGAATTCTGACTTTTTTCCTCAGAATTCTGACTTTAATCTCAGAATTCTGACTTTTTTTCCTCAGAATTCTGACTTTAATCTCAGAATTCTGACTTTTTTTCCTCAGAATTCTGACTTTAATCTCAGAATTCTGACTTTTTTTCCTCAGAATTCTGACTTTAATCTCAGAATTCTGACTTTTTTTCTCAGAATTCTGACTTTTTTCCTCAGAATTCTGACTTTTTTCCTCAGAATTCTGACTTTAATCTCAGAATTCTGACTTTTTTTCCTCAGAATTCTGACTTTAATCTCAGAATTCTGATTTTTTTTCGTCAGAATTCTGACTTTTTTCCTCAGAATTCTGACTTTAATCTCAGAATTCTGACTTTTTTTCCTCAGAATTCTGACTTTAATCTCAGAATTCTGACTTTTTTTCCTCAGAATTCTGACTTTAATCTCAGAATTCTGACTTTTTTACGTCAGAATTCTGACTTTTTTCCTCAGAATTCTGACTTTAATCTCAGAATTCTGACTTTTTTTCCTCAGAATTCTGACTTTAATCTCAGAATTCTGACTTTTTTTCCTCAGAATTCTGACTTTAATCTCAGAATTCTGACTTTTTTTCCTCAGAATTCTGACTTTAATCTCAGAATTCTGACTTTTTTTCTCAAAATTCTGACTTTAATCTCAGAATTCTGACTTTTTTTCTCAAAATTCTGACTTTAATCTCAGAATTCTGACTTTTTTTTCTCAGAATTCTGTCCTTAATCTCCTACCAAACTGAAATAAAATGTAAAAATCAGTTAACTTTTTTTTTTCTCCGCTGGCCCTAATCCTCTTCCGTAAAAAACAGATTTTTACAGCCTCATAAATAAATAAATGTCAACATCTAAGTTAATAAGTAAACCTTCCAGCTGTTTGATAAAAAAAGCAGAAAATCAAATTTGTTTCAGTTTAAATAAAAAGTTGCATTAAATAATGATTTCACGAGTTTCCCTTTACTGTTGTGTCCTGTTTACTCTGCTCTGACGTTCAAACTGGCCTCAGATGTGCAGAGTCGGCCTGTTTGTTGTGACACCAGCTGATCTTTTGTCCCCAGAGGGAAAGAAAATCTCTAAGAGGCCAAATTATTTATTTATTTTTTACCACACTGTGCTTTCTTTCCCGTCCAGCCTCCAGCTTGGAGCAGGACTCGTGTTACCCGGGACTCTCTGCTTCCCTCTCAGGCTTTTATGAACAAGTTTGATAAACATCAGCATAAAACTGATTAAATGCAATAATTTAAGCAGAAAGCAGGAGCTGCAGAGGTTGGAGACGACTTATTCAGCAGCTGGCTGTCTCTGCAGAGTGTCCTCATAACCGAGTTGAAGCCCAGTTGTATTTTATTCCATAAAAGTCGATTGAGGCCAGAAATGTTTCCTCCCCTTGTTTGTCCGTTCCAAAAAGCCTCGTGATGGTTGACTCTGTTCCTGTTGAATATAAACACAGTGCCTGCAGTGACTGCATCTGCTCCCCCTGAAAAGCTGTGACACAGATCTGCAGTGTGGGAACCACATGATCCCAGCCGTGAACTCAGCAGTCATGATGGCGTGCGTTTTTAAGCTATCAATCCATTATTTAAGCGGCGGGATGCTCTATAGACAAAGTTCATCTTTTAAAATCCAGGGACAGATGTGCAGGGGTGGATTTAGGAAATATGGGGCCCTAGGCAGAGACAGGCCGGGGGCCCACTGAATTAAGAAGACAACACATAAAACAGCCCATTCTCCAGATAGAGAAATGTTAATAGAATAGACATCCATTCTCTGTTCTAGGTTGTGTCCCTCTCTTCTTGTCCCTTTTCTTCTTCTTGTTTGTCTCTAAAGGAATGAAAGATTTTTTCCAAGCACTAAGCTCACTTAGCTGATTGCTCCTTCCTGTGTTTCCAAAAAGGCCAAAGTAAATAACCCAGTCCTTCTTTTCACTGTAGACAAGCCATGATCTGCTTATCTGTTCTCCATTTTTCATTTGGATGAAATAATAGCTGCATGAATCATGACAGCAGACAAGATAGAGGAGAGCAGGAGGCGGGGTTACCAATCTACTTGCTCTGGAGAGCAGAGTTCGCTGCTTTTAGATGTTGTCTCCAAAGTCTCCAGTAGCAGAAAAAAGTCTCTAGATTTGGCGCTAGGAGCTTTTTAGAAATCAAAGTGCTAGAGGGGTCTGAAAAGTGGCTAAATATAGCGACTAAAGCGCTAAGTTGGCAACACTGCTCTTTGCATGGTTTGTTTTTAAATGGTTTGCTGAGACTAACTTAATATTGTAAGTGTTCTGGTGGCATTTTAGCGAAAGGAATTTGATCAAAACATAATTGATGTAAACAGAGTTTTATGGGGCCCCCAAGAACTTGGGGGCCTAGTCAACTGCCTAGTATTGCCTAATGGTAAATCTCCCCCTTCAGACCAGGACAGGAGGAAATGTCTTTAAAAATAGTCTATTTTCTCACCTCTGATATCACTTGGATGAATTGTTTGTGTGACCAAACGTATTTCAACATGTTTTTTTCTGTTTTCCAGGGGAAAGTTTTTGAGAAAAAAACACACAAAGTGAAGCAGCAGAAATTTTTGGAAAACAAGAGGATGAAAATCGTGGTTGCCGCCGTGGGAGTGGGGATCGGACTCATCATTGTGGGAATTATAATCTTTTTCTCCGTGTAAGAATGAATGATCCGAAGCTGCTCGACAGCTGAAAACAAAAAGGAATTGAGCTGAAGGACAGTAAATGAGTGGAGGTCCAGGAAACGACCAGCTCTCTGACTGGGACTGCTGCAAAATATGTGATATTATTAGGCTATAAGATATCTAAGGAAACGTCCCCCCCCTCCTTCATATCTTCTCTTGATGTGGTACAATTCATCGCTTGCTTGGATCCCAGTTTAAACTTTCCACACATGTCTTTGCAGACAATCGAAGCCTCCTGCTCTTTCTTGGAATTGTTTTAGGAGGGATTCAGCAGAACTCTGAGGCGGCCATATTTGTGTGCATGTTGTGCAAATGAAAAGGAGGACGTCTGATGTTAAAGTCCAGCTGTTAAAAAATGCTTTCATATTAAATATCCCTCTTCTTTGATCTATGGTTACGTTTATTTTCAGTTTCTGATTTTAAAGAAATATCTTTAATATAAATGTTGGTTATAATAGTCAAATTAGGATTGTATTTCTATGTAAAGATTTTTATAAAATGTATAATTGAAAAGAATTGCGATAAACAGCACCCCCTGGTGGCTGATGTTGGTAAACATAGATAAAGCCTGAATTCATGACCATAAAACTTTCTGTTTGGTGCCAAGCAATCATGTCGGTCTCTTTACTGATATTCTTATGAGGAAATGTCAAATATGCTCAAAGCTGAAAGATTCTGGATTAGAAAGTTCAACAAAGTGGGAAATTCTCGGCTCTGTCTGATAGCTCATGCTGCGGAGAGAGCTGCAGTGCCTGTATTGGTGGGATTAAACGTGTTTATGTTGTTCCTGTGAAGATCAGATCTGTTTCTGCTTGCAGAGTAAAAAAAAAAAAAAGACTGTTTATGTCCTGCATGGTCATGGAGCTGACAGCAAACATTGTTTCCTGTTGAAACAACGACCCTGCTGATGAAGTTAGACGTGTTTTCCAACTAAAAGTAAAAAAAAAAAACAATCCACTGGACACTCTACTAATTCAGTGAAAGGATGGAGTCGGAGTAAAAACAAATCCCTGCCCATGAGAACGCCCGTGGCTGGAAGTTGGAGGACATTTAGCTGCCATTCGGCGGCTTTTGGCTGGGAAGCGCCATTTTGAATTGCTGCTACTGTAGTCCCAGTTTATAGCTGGTATAATCTTTTTGTGACAAAACTTGTTGGCAGCTTTATGCAAGCTCTGCCCTGGTGGTAGCATCATTCTGTAGCACTCTCCTCTCTGCTAGAGGTGGACAGATCGATTCTAGGATCGATATTTACGCTGCTATTGATATTGAACAATATTCGTTTAATAAGATTGATAATTTATATTCTCTCCTCCATGCACTTAACTGCAGCAGATTCACCAGTCTCCCCAGTCTGTGTTACAGTGCTTTACTCTTCTCCCCTTCCCCTCTGGTCACCGGCTTAGTGCTCAGGCTCAGGCCCGGAGAGGGAACGAAGCACCTTCTGGCTATTCTAATGCGGTAAATGAAACAACGGCAAGCTGTATGGTTTGTAAAAAGCTGGTTAAATGCAGTGAAAACACAACAAGTTTGTATAAGCACATGAAAAACCATGAGCAAAAAAACGTCGAGCTACCAGAACAGAGAGAGGAGATGAAACTTTGCTCTTTGCCTGGACAGACCCTCGACCCCCAGACAGATGTCGCTGATAGAGGCCTTTCAGACCTCCAGAGAATATCCAGGTACAGTGGGGAGAACAAGTATTTGATACACTGTTGATTTTTCAGGTTTTCCCACGTGCAAAGCTTGTAGAAGACTGTAATTTTTATCATAGGTACTCTTCAACTGTGAGTGATGGAATCTAAAACAAAAATCCAGAAAAATACAATGAATGATTTTCAAATAATTAACTTCGATTTTATTGTGTGAAATAAGTATTTGACCATCTATCACCAGTAAGAATTGTGGCTCTCACAGACATGTTAGTTCTTCTTTAAGAAGCCCTCCTGTTCTCCACTCACTACCTGTATTAACTGCACCTGTTTGAACTCGTTACCTGTATAAAAGACACCTGTCCACACACTCAATCAATCACACTCCAGCATCTCCACAAGGCCCAAGACCAGAGAGCTGTGTAAGGACATCAGGGATAAAATTGTAGACCTGCACAAGGCTGGGATGGGCTACAGGACAATAGGCAAGCAGCTTGGTGAGAAGGCAACAACAGTTGGTGCAATTATTAGAAAATGGAAGAAATACAAAATAACGGAAAATCTCCCTCGGTCTGGGGCGCCATGCAAGATCTCACCTCGTGGAGCATCATTGATCTTGAGGAAGGTGAGGAATGAGCCCAGAACTACACGGCAGGACCTGGTCGATGACCTGAATAGAGCTGGGACCACAGTCTGAAAGAAAACAATCAGTAACACTCTACGCCGTCAAGGATTAAAATCCTGCAGTGCGCGCAATGTGCCCTTCATCAAGCCAACGCATGTCAAAGCACGTCAAAGCCCGGAGGAATGGGAGAAGATCATGTGGTCTGATGAGACTAAAATAGAACTTTTTGGTTTAAACTCCACTCGTCATGTTTGGAGGAAGAAGAATGATGAGTACAACCCCGAGAACACCATCCCAACCGTGAAGCATGGCGGTGGAAACATCTTTCTTTGGGGATGCTTTTCTTCAAAGGGGACAGGACGACTGCACCATATTGTGGGAAGGATGGATGGGGCCATGTATCGTGAGATTTTGGCCAACAACCTCCTTCCCTCAGTAAGAGCACTTAAGATGGGTCGTGGCTGGGTCTTCCAGCATGATAACGACCCAAAACACACAGCCAGGGCAACTAAAGAGTGGCTCTGTAGGAAACATCTTAAGGTCCTGGAGTGGCCTAGCCAGTCTCCAGACCTGAATCCAATAGAAAATCTTTGGAGGGAGCTTAAAGTCCGTGTGGCCCAGTGACAGCCCTGAAACCTGAAGGCTCTGAAGGAGATCTGTATGGAGGAGTGGGCCAAAATCCCTGCTGCAGTGTGTGCAAACCTGGTCAAGAACTACAGGAAACGTCTGATCTCTGTAATTGCAAACAAAGGTTTCTGTACCAAATATTAACTTTCATTGTTCTGGTGTATCAAATACTTATTTCACACAATAAAATAGAAGTTAATTATTTAAAAATCATACATTGAATTTTTCTGGATTTTTGTTTTAGATTCCATCACTCAAAGTTGAAGAGTACCACCTATGATAAAAAAAATTACAGTCTTCTACAAGCTTTGCAAGTGGGAAAACCTGAAAAATCAACAGTGTATCAAATACTTGTTCTCCCCACTGTAGATAGGAGTGATCCCCTTCAGATTAACTATCAAAGTAGATATTATGTATCATATGACATTGGAGCCCACTCAGAAAAAGTAAGACCTTGAACCAATACATTCATCCCCCTTAAATATGTTATCTAAGTGGGCTAACATTAACTAATCCAGGGAAATAGAGAATTAAAGCAACAAGCAAGTGTGTACAATGGAAAAACAATTACATAAGGATCGAAATATATAGGTGGTAGATTAGGGGAAAAAACACTATGAACAGAACATTATTAATATTATTATTCAACCGTAACAAGTAAATAAAGATCACAAAAACATGAAAGGTCAACAGTCCCACGATACATCAAGTTTAAATGTAAAAAGTATCGGATCGTATCAATATCGGAAATACTGACCCTGTAATTACTTGGTATCGTATTTTCTATCTGACTGACACACTAAACCTACGGAAGAGGATTATGTCCACTGGAAAAAAAAAAAAAACCGTTGACAGATTTTTAAATTTTATTTCAGTTCAATATGGGAAAAAAGTCCGAATTCTGAGATGTTAAACTTAAATAAAATTTAAAAATCAGTTAACATTTTTTTCCCAGTGGCCCTAATCCTCTTCCGTACTAAACTGTGTTTAAAAACGTAAATGTCAACATGATGCATCTGCTAAAAGAAAAAATGTCTCATCTTTGTAGTTTATCATTGAAATGATCAAGAATTTTGGAGCAGCCTAAAAGGAATAGGAACGTTTCAGCTGTTGCATTTTTTTATTTAAATTATCTGAATTAAAGTTAATTTCAAATTGACTCTTAGTTTACTTAATGTTTTTACTCTACTTATTGTTTTAAAAATATGATTTAAAATCCTACTCCTCCAGCATCCTCATTCACATTTTCCCATAAATTTTGACGTTATGATAAATGTTTACATTATTTATAGAATGCATCTAAAAATAAATATATTTTTAATTTAAACATAGATATGAAATAATAAAATATAACCTACAAAAATTTAAAGTATGTCATTTTACTAGGTCATCATATCAAGTAAACTGCCTGTAGTGTCTATAAATGGCCAGCAGGTGTCAGTATTCTGTAAGGCAGATGCCTCATTAACTCATCACTATTAAAATAAAATAGATTTAAAAAAATAAAATGTCCGTATAATATATAAACACAGACGATCTGCTCCTCATGCCACAACTTTAGGTTATGAAAACGTGAAACTTGACCCAAAAAAAAAAAAACAGCGGAAAAGGGGAGCGGTGGCAGTTTTGACCCGGAAGTGACGTCAACAAGTCCTTCCTGCAACAAGACCGGCATGATGGCGTCGGACACGCAGGTTTGTGGGGTTAACTGTTTAAATTCAGGCTAAAATGTTTGAAGGGGGTCCGTCCGGTTCAGCGGAGAGCAGCAGTGTAATAAACGTCTCTGGAGGCTTTGGTCATTTTCGTGGCTAACGGAGAACCGGCGGCAGAAGTTAGCAGCGGCTAGCTAGCATGCTGCTAGCTGGAGGCTAGCTGTAGCCTCATTACTGCTGCCAGCATGACTGCTGCTGCCTGATCACAGCTGCGGGCCGATTACTCTGCTTCCTGCTCCTCATAACAACATTACCGGAACAGAAATGATCGGATTTTACGCTGCATTCACAGAAGTCACAATAGAGTAAAATAAATAAGCAGGTTTATGGAGGGAGGGAGCGAAGTGACGCCTTCCAGAACTACAAAAGGTTCTGGAGGGGAGTCCAGCTCAGAGGAAACAGGACCGGGAATCAAACCTGCGACCTTTTTCTTTTTGTTGTTTTGATGGCCTTTTTTCCCCCCACGTTTCCCTGAAAAGTTGCGTTTGTTCTATAAACAAACAAAAGTCTTAAAACAACCTGTTGATCATTAAAAGCATCTCTAGAGGGCTTTCAAAAGTAACACAAGTTTATTTTTGTTTTGTTCTATTCTGATATTTACATCGGAAATCGATTTTGATTAGGGCTGCAACTAACGATTACTTTGCAAATTGATAATTAATAATCAGATAGCTAAAGGTTCTTTAAAGAAAACTTTTTTACTAAAATAAACCAAACTGAAGCTTTTGACAGGAGAAAAAGATCATCTTAAATACAAAATGTTTACATATATTTTTTTTTTACAATGTTGGTATAATTGCTGCTTTAAGTGGGCCACCCTGTCTGCTAAAGGCATGTTTCACAGTCTCTATACTCAATTGATTACATAATTAACTGATGATTATTTTAATAATCGAATAATTGATTCAGCCAAGAGATAAATTAGCCTGCATCTAAAACCACTGATCTCTAAAATCAGGATCATGATCAGTTTCCACCAAGCTGGTTCCTCGTCTAACTCGGGTCTACGTGATAAAATACAAAAGTGTTCTTAAAACATTTAGGTCAATTAGACATTAACATATAATAAGCTCATAATTAATCTGACATCATATTTTACAAATTAAAAAACTGGCAGGGAGTCAGACACAGCACTGCTGATGCAGAGCGCTGTGATCACTCCTCTGAAACTGCTTATTAATGCCTAAATTAACTTAAAACGTAGAAACCTGCAGGCAGAATATGTTTGATTTTATCATCCTGGTGCCTGCAGTTTGGATTACGTACGTGAAAAACGCAAACCTCTACTTCCAGCCGCCATGAACAGTAGCGGAAAACCCTGAAGAGGCGACAGGGCCAGAGGCAGCTGGGTCTGAGTGGATCAAACAGAGAAATAATATTTGAAGGCAGGATGGTAATCTGCTTTCAAATATTATTAATCTATATAACAAAGCTGCTCTCTGACATTGAACACAGGAGCAGCAGAAGCATCAGACGCTTTACTGGACGGCTGACCTTAATGTGGACTAGCATCAGAAATGAAGCAGCTGAAGCTTTTTTGCTGCTTCCAGTGCTTGTGGTCTGAACGTAGCATTATTCATTAAAATAAGCCAAGCGACTCTCAGTTTTATCCGCCATTGTTACACGTTCCGCCCAACACGCATCAGAGCCACTTTTTGACCCTGCAGCTAGAGCAGCAAGGAGTAGGGCTGGGTATTTTCGCCAAAGTTCTAAATCGATTAATTTTGATTCGATCTGTTTTTACAACAATGAAAGTGGTTCAACTGTGTTTCAAAATACTCATGTATTTCATTTTTTCCAGTCATATTAAAAACAAAGTGCAAACTTGTAAACCAGACAGTTTAAACATGAGATGTGAACAAAAATGCCTCAAAAGTGCAAACTTGTTAGTGAAAAGTGAAAAAGTGAAGCCTCACCCGAGCAAGCAGACGTGACACGGCGGGGACACAGCAGACATGCATGAGCTGCATTTAGGGATGCACGATATTGGGATTTTGGCCGATATCCGATATGCCGATATTTTAAAACTCATGTAGCCGATAACCGATATCGATACCGATGTTAAAGCTGGACAAAAATAAGTAGTCATTGAAAATAGCAGTTTTGTTATCCATTTCTGACACTTTGAAAAATAATATACTCAAATATATTTTCATACGCTGATATCAAATAGATTTTTAAAAACGCGGTATCGATCTATTTTACTTTCAGAATCTTGTGAAATTTCATCGTTCTGTTACAAACTCTCGTGATATTTTGCTAATTCTTGTGAGATTTTGTTAGTAAAATAGATCGATACCGCGTCAACATATAAAAATATGGCAACATTTGGTGAATTTTCGGGGGATTTCGTAGCATAACGATGACATATAGCAATATTTCATTAGTAAAAGAGATTGATATGGTGTTTTTAAATGGCAATATATCAGCATATGAAGATATTGGGATATTTTAATGGATCAATATTTTTTTCCCTCGTCTTTAGAAGTTTTTAAGTCTGTAAAAAATAAGTTTTTGAGGAAGAAGTAGTATTTTTTTTTTTTTTTAGACTTTAGAAACTCAGAAGCTGATCAAATATCGGGTTAAATATCGGTGGGGTGGCCGATGTCCGATATTCAGTTTTAAGGCCGATACCGATGGGGGGCCGATTATATCGTGCATCCCTTAACACGACCATGTTAATGTTTTACTGCAGGGAATCCAATGCTGCAGAACTTTACTGAAACATTTGCATTAAAAAAGTTCTTCCTTCTACTATAAAGTATAGATGAAGGTGCGAGCTGCAACTCACGGTTCCCTTCTGTGCAACAGCACACCCACTTCAATTATATTACCGTCATCTAAGGGAGGAATTTACTGTCTCATCCTTGTTTAATGTATCCTGACTAAAATAGAGAGCTTCTGCGATTTGAAAATGGTATTTTTCTAAATTGCGATTATATTGCAAATGCAATTAATTGCCCAGCTCTAATATGTGCTGCCTTTTTATTTTGGGACGTCTCTTTAGGCACATGTTTGGTTTCCTTCCTTTGTCTAGAGCAGGAGTAACCAATTAAAAACCAGTGGACATTTTTAATTATAATCTGTTACTTTAAACATAATTTAACACTGAAATAAAATGAGGTGTTTATCCATCCATGTTATACATTGAATAAAAAAAAAAATACTGACCCTGTAATCCATTTTGAAGTCTAAAGTGTTTTTTGAACAACAATCATTCAGTTTGGTTTATAGATAATTTCCTGATTCCCATATTTTCTCAAACCCCTGAACTGAGCGTTTGTTATTTTCTTCCTTTTTCCTGTCTTAATGTTGGCAGTGGGCTTTAGGCTGCCCTGCAAGGCTTTAAACCTGGGTTTAACCGGAGACTAAGCCATTCTCAAGCACATATCAAGGAGCTCATTTTGAGCCTGGATCCAGATTTATTGTTGATTCTGTTCATGGTGGAGAATCCTGCTTTATATTCAGGCTCCGCTCCGGTCCGGCCAGCTCAACATCCGCTTTGCAATCGCACCAAACAGGAAAAAGAACGGCGAGACGATCCAGTTTGTCAAATTAAAATATAGTAACAACACTAACTACAAATTAGAGCATAATTCTTATATATTTCAAAATACTAACACTGTTTATTTAAAAGATTGGATGCAAACTATTGGTACTTCAACAGACTAGGAAGTAGATTTCTCATCTCCATCAGAAACCGAACACATAATGGATGCTGATGGAGATTTTTTAATGTCATATTAAATTAAGCGTTCATTTCTGCATGTTTTGCTCCTATGAATTTAATGATAATATCGCGCAATCTCTTCTCGAGCTCCGAGGATAAGTCTGACTGCAGCAATACGGGAAACAGCGGAGGCTGTAGGCAGGAGGACTGGTGCGCTGCGAGGCGGAGCAGTGAAGGAGGGTGTGGGATTTCAGGGTAACAGGAGAAGCGGCACAAGTGACGTTTAGACACCGTCGTCAGACAATATGCGATAATTTATGTTCCACAAATCTCAATTTAGCCAGGAAAGAAAAATGTATTACCAAATCAAATAAAACATAACAACGGATGGTAAATGGATGAAGCAGCAACGCATTCGTCCCCTATAATCGCTGCTAAAAACGCTGAGGACTCATTGAATACCGCTAATATCAGCCAAAAGGATCCGCTGGTCGATGCATCGGTTTCCCGACTGATGCAGGGATCAGTGGGAATTCTGCATAAAGCGTCCATCAGCCATAAATCTTGATGATTCTGCTTTAGGTTTCAGACACCCTGAAGAAATTTGCTGTCAAAGTGACGACGGCCAGCATTAAGGAGCGGAAGGAGATCTACGGGGATTTGAGGAGGTGTCTGCAGGATAAAGGTGAGGTCACCTGTCGCCCGCTTTATTACAGCTTGCTTTAAAACCAGCCTTTATCGGTACAAATATGTGTATTTTGTTGTAGAGTTGCCAGAGGCTGCGGTTAAAGGGCTGTGTAAGCTCTTCTGCCTCACCCCCCACAGATACCGGTAGGTTGGACCTGTCATCTGCAAACCAAAGCATTCGCTGCCGTTTCTCAATATTCTTCTTCACCTTTTTGTTTCCTGTTGTGCGTTTAGAGATGCGGCGTCACGCAGAGAGCTGCTGTCCGTCATCGGCCAGCTGGCGGACAGTCATTCTGACGTCCTGGTGTCCAGCCTCCTCCAGGGACTTTTGAACTGCGGAGTCATCAGCAAAAATGGAGAGCCAAGGTAATTCTCCATACTCATGCTTCCTGCTGATTCATCTCAATCCTCTTAAAGGAGAAGTCTGGTCAGCAAGGAATAATCAATGGATCTATACCTAAAACAAACACGTTCGCGGTTAATTAATGAGTTTAATCAGTAAAAAAAAATTGATACATTTTATAGCGATCACTGAGTCTGGGGGCGGCCATTTTTGCCCAAATATAGTAACCCCTCCCTCCTGCCATCTTCCGGCAGTGACGCCATGGTGCGGTAAGCCTAGCGCCATTCTCCTAACCTGACTCCGCCAGATGGATTTGCTCCGCATATCCATCTGGAAACTTTCCATTGAAGTAATTTTAGGAAGGGGCGAAAATACTGGTTAGCTGATTGGCCTATGTTGGTGATAGACGGGCCAAATAAACCAATCAGATCAACGAAGCATATGACGTACTAACAGAGCGACGACAAAAACACAACCACAAGCCAGGCTACTCTTGCCGAAACCAGTTGGGAGAAGAGCAAAAACATCTTTTCCTCTGAGAAAAGCCTCCAGAGCAGCGTTTTGCTCTTCTTTCAGTGAAGAAATACTCTGTAATTCCGATAATACTTGCTCGATAGCCACGCTAACGCTAGTTTCATCGGCTGAAGCCGCCATGTTCTTTAGACTGAACTGTCGCGCTTCTCGTTGCGTCACACCTCAACCCGCCTCAAAGCCAACGCTGATTGGACGTTCGTTTGGTGAACGGCTCCAAATTTTCTTCAACAGAGAGTCTCCAGACTGATTATCGAGTGAAACCTTGAAAGCTCGCGAGATCAGGATGGTCTCACGAGGCTACCGTTCTGCCCGCTTTACAAGAAAATTGTTTTCAGAAGTTTGAATTCTGAATATGAACAGAATTTTCCTTTAAATGGAGCCACATGTTGAGAGAGGTGATGTTTTCCTGGGGTTGAGCAGCACAGTTTGCATTGTGTTGGTCACAGACCATAAACCCAGCGGTGTTTGATGAGCTGAAGCAGCACTGCGGCCTCCTCCTCTCTGAGGAAGTCCGCTCTGTTTGGGGCGAGCGTCTGAGTCTTTGAGGACAGATCAGGTTGAAGCTCAAAGTTCAAGGATCTAATGTCTAACCTGAAGCCCTAACGAGGCGCTGCCCCACACCATCATACTTCCTCCACTGACAGCTGTTTGCTGTTGGCGGGGAGGATTTGGAAAGTTTCCATTCAACCCACTGAAGACTTTCCGCCCCAAATGTGGAAAAGATTCAGAGGAAATGAACAGGGAAGGATTCGAATACTACAGAGAATCTATAAAGCGATGAGATATGATTGATTTAATGATCCAGATCTCCATAGAAACAATTTGTAATTGTTTCCCCTTTGTTTTATTCTTGCCTCCTTGTGTTTGCAGTAAGAGCTCCGGCTCTGCCGCCTTCATCGGCCTGTCCTGGACCTGCCTTTTAATCCCTAAAGTGTTTTCTGCTCCAGAGAAACGAGAAGGACCCATCTGGAAGAAAATGGTCGGCAAATTTCTGTTGTTGTTTCTAAACTAAAGTGATATTTATCTGAGTCGGTTGGCGGTTAAATATTGGTCTGTTGGTAAAATGGCTGCTCCTCTGTCATCCGCTGCAGGTGGAGGTCCAGAGCCTTCTAGTGGCGGAGGTGGTGGGCGGAGCCAAAACCACAGCGAAGAAATCAAGCCTGAAGAATCTCTGTCACCTGTGGGAAGAGGTGGGCGACTTTTTCTACGCTTTTATTTTCTCTCAGCTGAAATAGTTTTACGTGTGGAAAAGGCGGTCTCCAGACATGCAGGTTTGGCCGCAGCAGAAATCAGAGGCATGATCCAGAGAGTGAAGCTCCGCGTGGTTAAAATGGGACCAGATGTTTGATGAAAAATGTTTTACTGGGCAGAAATCACACGTCTGTGAGGAACATCTCAGAAAAGAGATTCGATTATTTTCGATACTCAAGAATACACCACCAGTTATTTTTTTTATTTTTATTTTTTTACACCTTACAGGCTAAACAAAGTTTGAAGTTTGAAATAAATCAATGAAAGCTGTAATATCGATCGTTATGCTTTTTTTTTTTTTTTTTTTTAGAAACAACAGCAAATAACAGAAGTAGAAAAGTTGCATCAAAAAACACAGCAAAAATACTGCACATAATCAGTGCAATGAGTATAATTCAATACCTGGGCTCCAGACGTCCCGCCTCCTCCACAGACGCTCCGCTGCTCATCTCCCAGATTGTAGCTGACCGCAGACAGTGCCGCAGACAGGAGGCCGGCTTGGTTTGTTTTTATGACCGAAATTGCGGAAAACAACTCGTGAAGTTTGACCCGCTAGAAGAGCGAGGTGCGTGAGAACGCTGGGAGCCTTTTTCCAGCTGAATCTCCGCTCTTTTTGGCCCTCATGTCCCTCCGTGGTCGGACTAAACTCGCCCCCACTTCCTTGCCGCCTCGGCCGTATCTAGACCCACAGCGTGTAGCTCAGACCACGCTTCAATATTGAGCATAAATCAAAAATGTCTGCATCAAGCTCACTGCAACACACTGCTGTAAGAGGATAACCAGGAAGCGAGGTAGGAGGGCAAAATAGGTTTAGCGCCACCGCAGCACGGGAGGAGAATTACGCCCAGGAGCAAATGGATAAAAATAGACGGAAAAAAAAACATGAATCGATTCTCTTGCGGACGAATCGATGTATCGGATCGTCGGCTGTTGGATCGATGCATCGATACAAAACGATTATTATTTACACCCCTGGACGTTACGCTAAAAAATTGCAGTTCCTCAGACAACGATAATAACGACGCACCGTCAGTGTTCCGAGTCAGGAGCATCTGTAATGTTAGCGCTTTTAATGTCTGATAAAATTTTACCTGATCGATAACAAAGCTGAAAAATCTGATTATGGTGAACAAAGTTAGACCATGATATAAAGGGGGAGAGCTGTGGCTAGCTGTGCTCAGTAGCTGACAGGTTAGCCTCTTTTAGCTCGGTCAGTTAGCCATATTATGCTTTCTTAGTCTTAAATCTCCATGAAAATCCTTTTTTAAGATGTTCAGTTTGGCCTTTTCTTCCATCAGATCCTAATGAAAAGGAGCTGAGACTTTTTGTGTCGCCTTTTTAAATAGCAGAGCTCAGTCTGTCCTGGAAGGCAGTGATTTCCTTCCAGACTGACGATGATTGTTTTCTACTTTCAGCTACTTAGATCCTTCCAAAAAAGTTTAAAAAAAACTCTACTGGACAAGGTCCAGCACATTAGCTAGCCTGACGTAGTCCGACTCAATTCTAGTCAGAATGAGTCTGATGCTGCTCCATAGAGCTGTGATTATGGGGCGTGTTTTGAACGAACCAGGAAAAAAAATGCCTCTGCACTCAATTGGATAGACCTACAACCAATAAGAGCAACGGAGTGCGTGACGTATGTTAAGCGAGGCATAGTTGTTGTCAACAAAAATCAAAGCGTGCAGTTGCACGCCTAGAATAAGATGAGCCTTGATCGCGTTTCTCTGTTCCTCTTTTAAAATTAATTTGCTGTTGATATCTTCTAGAACAGACCTAATAGCAGAATCTACTCACCCCAACTCTCCAGCGGCAGCCATTGTTGTTGTCACCCAAGCGCGCTTTGGTCACGTGGTTGATTACGTTACTGTTAATCATCTGTCCATCATCGTATAAAGCCCGCCCTGACAATTTGATTGACCCGCCAGATATTGTGCTAGCATACTCGCGCTACTATTGAGCAATGCCAGACCGAACTTCCCGACCTCAAACCTTGTGGGCGGGACTAAGTTCGGAATGGCACCCAGGCTACACATTAGCATCTCTAAAGGAAAACAGCAAGGAGTGATCAATGGGTCATTATCTATACCTAAAACTAATACGTTCGCGGTAAAAAGAATATAAACAATAATTTTTGTTGCGATCACTGAGTCTGGGAGCGGCCATTTTTGACCAAATATAGTAGCCCCTCCCTCCTGCCATCTTCCAGCAGTGACGTCACGGTGCGGTAAGCCTAGCGCCATTCACCCCGCTTTACAAGCTAAATCAATGGGAACTAATAGACACATCTGCAATCAACAACAATTATTGAAGATTTGCAGACAGGGTTCCTGCGGGTCCTTAAAAAGTCTTAAAAGGCATTGAATTCTTCAAAATAAAACTAAGGCCTTAATTGGTATAAAAATGTCTTACATCAGTCTTTGTGGGTCTTAATTTTTAAAACATCATAAATAGGATTGTTTTACGATTTTATTTTGTAATCTAGATAAAACATTAAAATTGACCATTTTTTTTTGTTTTTGTTTTTTATTTAAAAAAAAATAACGGCTCCCGCTATCGGGACGGAACCAATAATGGCGTTGTTGCGTCTTTTGTCTGGAACTTTTTGTCTGAAATATATGAGCAAGTGTTAATGTAACGAAAATTGGCTCCAGCTAAAACCAGGGAACATACATGAGGCTCAGTGGATTTAGTGCAAGAAGTCATTCAAGCTCAGAACGATGGGAATTAAGGCAGTGGAGTCGCACATGCGAAGCACGAAACACAAAGCGTCAAAATGGAGTTACAGAGAAACAGCCGGTATTTCTCAGTTTAGTTCCACCCTTGTCTCTGCAAAACAAAGTTTGTGAATTCAGTTAAAGGCATACTATGCAACATTTTTCAGTTAATTAATGTGTTCCATAACGTTTTGGATGATGAAATGAGTCATTTCAGGTCGAACAAAGGTTTTCTCGGCCGCCCTGGTGGTCTGTGGGGGAAATACAGTACTTGCAATTGCAGGAGCCCTCGGCCCGCACCCACAGGTTTAGAAGTCTTGTGCATCGCGAGAGTCGGTCTTGCTTTATGGCGAGAACTGCTACACGCCCCCAGTGAAAAGCATGCTCGTTGCTAGCGCAGTGGCGATATTTGTGCAGTTATCATGGCGGAACCAGCGAGAATTTTCAAACTCGAAAATTGGAACAAAATAGTCACTTACCGCAGTAGACATGGTGATCCGTTGCGTTCGCCTGTCTGCTAAGCTCAAAACAACCGCGCCTGGATTGACGGAGAAACCAGGAGAAAAGCTGAGCATATTTACGACAGTGCACTTTTACTTTCGCCCTCTGGGGGGAGCCTCGCTGGAAAATCAACACCGGTTGCATAGTATACCTTTAAATAATTGTTAAAATATATCTGTCCTTTGTGTGTTTTTTTGGTTTCTTCCTGTATGGGAAGCTTTTCAAAATTTGAAACATTAGTGCAGAGGTTTATGTTAAAATAAACCTTTGGGTTAAGTTGTTGCAAGCAGGTTTTTCTTTTGAATTTCGTCTTAAATTTTTATTTCAAGTGGCATTAAAAAGTCTTGAATTTAACTTGCCTTATGCTGTAGGAACCCTGCCAGAGGACTTAACCATGGAAATTCACCAGAGCTATAGTGAAACTGACAATGCCCACGTGCATGGCAGCTGGATGCTGGAATACATCGGGTAAAAGTGGATCGGTTGTTCTTTAAACTTTCTGTTTGTTGTTGGTCTTGCAGAAGCCTGGGCTGGTTGATCACTACATCAGCACCCTGCTGACTCTGGAGCAGAGCCCCACCATGCTGCCCATGCTGGGGGTGTGTTTGGACTTCTGCGCTGCTCAGAAGGACAAAGCTACCATCGAGAAACACAAGGTGGCATCATTTCGATGAGCTCAGTAGCTTATTACCGTGTTTGATTCTGACTAACCAACAGCCTTCCACAGAGCACCATGTTGGACCTCTACATTAAATCGGTCCTGATGAGCAAAACCAGACCGCAGCAGCACATTTTGGATCAGAGCGGCTCCCTGCTGCGTCACGTCACCCACTCTGAGTTCAAGGAGCTGCTGCTTCCCGCGCTGCAGAAGACCATGCTGCGCAGTCCAGAGAACGCCATGCAGAGTGAGCCTCCTGATACCTTTAATCACGTGCTGTAAAACCTGCAGTCCGTCATGATGCTGTTCATGTCTTCTCAGCCGTTTCCTGCCTGCTGTCTGCTGTAACTCTGGATCTCAGCCAGTATGCCATGGACATCGGAAAGGCCGTCGCCAGTAAGGCTCTCGGGGACGCCGACTTGTTCAGCTTTAGAAAATAAAGGAGATGTTTGGGTTAACTTAGCTGCTGTCCTTGTGCTTTAGGCCAGCTGAAGGCCAATAATGCTCAGCTGATGGAGGAAGCTGTTAAGGCCATGCAGAACCTGGTCCAGCAGTGCAGCGACGCCGCTGCAGTTCAGGACATCGTCTCTCATCTTTTCAAGATTCTCGGAGGTGAGCATGTCCTACTCACTGCGGGGTATTAAATTTAAATGTAAATAAGTAATTTCTTCTTATAATAAGTGCATTTGTTCTTGAATTGAGGAGCTAATTGAGACACTTTGCCAATGAAACAATGAAAACTACCAAATAAGTACATATTATCTAATTATCTTTTTTAAGGGTATAAATACTCATTCCATTGGCAGATAATCTTATCTATTTGCTCAAATTAAGGGTAAATAGTGTTATTTTTATGCTTATTTCTAGATTGTTTTTGCAGTGTCACTGCAGAGAGAGGCTCTGACTAGGCAGGTTCAGCAGATCTGCGCAGATCTTTTTCACTTTTTTCTCAGTGCTATACACATTAAAATAATTTCCCACATTTGATTGGACAGGTTATGAAGTTATTAAAATAAAAAATACAAACCAGCGGTGCATTCTATAAAGCAAAGTTCTACTTATAGAGTAGAACAAGAACAGATAGAGAATGTTCACTGCAAAAACGATCTAGAAATAAGTAAAAATTTCTTAAACTAAGTGTATTTACCCTTAATTTGAGCAGGTAAATGAGATAGTTTGCCAATGGAATGAGTAATTTTACTCTGAAAATAAGGTAATTAGATAATATGCACTTGAAATAAGACAATGCAATTGTGTTTTCTTATTCTAAGTGTAAATTGTCTTGTTCCATTGGCAAAATGTCTCATTTACCTCCTGAATTCAAAAACAAATGCACTTATTTTAAGAAAAAATGACTTATCTAAAGAAAAAAGTCAGAAATAAACGGTGTGAGACGGTTTCTATGGTGACTGAGGCAGAGAGGTGATTCTCAGAGAGATCTGGGAAGTTTATCCAAGTTTATCCAAGTTTTTCTTTCTTTTTTCCATGAAGAGGTGAGAGAGATACGCTGCACTGACCTGCTCTGCTCTTTCTGACCCTCCTTATTTTGGTTTCTATGAGGCTCAAAGAGGATCACTACCTTATCAGTTTTCTGTCCTCCTGACCTCCTATCATGGGGAAAGTTTTCTATTTTAATGTTTCATTCATTGTTTTTGCTCCAGTCTGTCCTGCTTACTATAAACGCGATATGCGACTCCAAACTGACAGATTTTATTTTGTATTTTCCTCCAAAGCGGATGTAATTTACTTTGTAATCGCGTCTCTCTTCCTGTCAGACCCATTAAATTGTTGCTGAATTGCTGCGTAGTTTAACTAAAATAGACCTGGACTCTATCTCAGTCGGAGCTACGCTGCCCCCTGCAGGAAATCATCCTCATTGACTTTCAATGAGGGCTAAACGCCACGAAACTCGTCCGACACGATTTTCTGTTTGATCGGCAAAATTGGATTTGGTGTGTTCTGGCCTTTACTGTGTTTCTTTTATTATTTGTGTTATTTTTAACACTTAAACACAAATAACCTGGAGAAGAAGGACAAGAGACATTAGATTTTTTTTATCCGCTGGGAGAGCAGCAGAGACGTCCTCAGTTTAGGGCTGCAACTAACGATTATTTTAAAAATCGATGAATCGGCCAATTATTTTTTCGATTAATCGATGAATCGGACCAAAAATATTTTTTATATTAACCTCTTTATTCCAAAATAAACATTTTAGACAGAACAAACAAGCACACAAGTACAGGTTGCTCATTAACTGTACTGGTGCAATATGAAAAATAAATGTTTGTGTTAAAACTACGCAAACTTACATGAGAAATGTAGCTGTACATCCACAAAATATAGGCTACTTTGTTTCATAAAGAGCAAAAAAAGACATTTTTGTTTTTAAAGCCCCTAAGGGGTTCAAACAATAGGCCCCCCCATTTCAACAAATGAGGTTTTTTTAGACTAGAAGAGTTCTGCCTTTTAAGACAGGAAAGTATAGCAGTTAAAGTTGCTACTTGAGAAAATACTGAACCATAGAGATAAAAATAGCCCTGTGATTCAAATTATAAATTGTATTTGGAATAAAAATGAGAGAACTAGGGGTGCTAAAAAACACATCCTCCAAAGACAGATATTTACATGGGAATGTGGCAGATAATTAATTGACATATTACTGATCTTGCTGGATTTTATTCTGCTTTACTTCCATAAATTGCAGGATCTTCTTTACTTTATCTTTGCCAGAAGATTTAAACTTTAAAAGCCTTGCCCTCATAATTTGCAAGTTAATTTATTTATAAAGTAAATATAAACGCTGCTTAAGCTAATTCAAATGAAATTAAAAGTAAAATAAGTAGCCAACCTTATCACTGTCTGTAACCTACTAACACGGTAAGGAAAGCATCAGATGAGCTACCTGAGAAACTAACGTTACGTTTCCCCACTTTAAAACCAAACAAACATGGCCGCTCACCCTGCTAATCAGCTCTCTTCACTGCCATCGAAGGCTCCAACGTGTTTCCTTTTCAGGTGCTGCATCATAACAGTGGTGCTCCCCTGCAAAGTTGCATGTTACGCCTTTTTTTTTGCTTTACAAAGCGCAGGCTGTCTGCGAATTGAGACGCAGCTTGCGTTTGCGGTATCGGTCAATAGAGCGCTGGCTCGCTCTGCCGTATTTTTTTTTCTTCCCGCGTTTCAATCAAGTGGCAGTGATGACGACGGCGGCGGATGACGCATTAATCGCGCGACACAACTAATCGATGATGAAATTCGTTGCCAACGCTTTTAAAAGTCGATTTTTATCGATTTTATAGATTCGTTGTTGCAGCCCTAGCTCAGTTACAATCTCCTCCCGCTCTGAAGCACCTCTGCTGTCTTCCTCACTCTTTATTGGAAAAAGGGAATCCCTAATAACAATAGATAACGCCGTAACTCTAAAGGAATATGCGTCATATAATGATGCACATACATTTCTTCATGCAAACAGCAACCTTGACTTATACACATGAAAATATTCAGTTCCTGGCTCCTGCAAAGGAATACTTCCTCCAGAGTAATAAAGATAATAGAAAGAATAAACAAGGTTAATACAGGATAGGATGAAATAGAATAGCTCCAACAATTTGATTAATATTATTATAAACCACTTTACTTATTGTTTTATGGTTGATTGTTTTTATCCTATGATTGTTTAAAGCTCTTTGGTCCTGTTGTGTGTTTAAAGTGCTTCATAAATACATGTATTATGGTGTGGTAACGGGGTTCTGTTTGTGGTTGCAGGCTCTGAAGGAAAACTCACGGTTGTTGCCCAGAAAATGAGCGTATTGTCAGGTGAGAAGTTTGTCTGCCTTCATTTCCTAGAAGATTCAACAATAAGACAGACGCAGATCCATCAGGTTTTATCTAAGTTATTGAGATCGTGTTGTCTTAGGAATATTGGTATAATATGATTCATTTATAGGTCAATACATTTAAAACATTAGCCAACTGAATAAATAAATTACAATTGCACTGAAATGATTGATAAAAAGGCCATTTATAGATTAAAAGGTGAAAAATAGTCCCAAGCAGGGTTTCCTCAGTGCTGGGACTGAATTAATTTATTCCAGACAATCCGTTCTCTTCATTTCATTGCGTTTCTCTTGTCTGCGCTGCTTCCATTACATTTTTCTGGTTGCTATATTTTCTGTCCAATCAGATTTCAGCCTCAGTGTTGCTATGACGATCTAATCTGCCCAGGGCCTTCACAATCAGCAGAGCTGCTGATGTTACCTTAATAATATGAGTGAGGAACGTTTTCTTCAACCAATCAGATTTCAGATTTGTCCCACTGGGCCAGCTAGAGGCCCCGCCCCTACGTCACCATTCTCTGTCCTCTGATTGGTCAGTTAGAGCTAATTGTTTAAAGGCAAGTTAAGCTAGAAACAATCTGCATTTTAGATTTGCTTTTGTTCAAAGTTTTTCTGACCTCAGTGGCTGAAACTAAATGGAGATACTTTGACTTTCTGCACAAAGATTGGTACCAGTAGCATGATCCGTTAACCTGACTCCGCCAGATGGATTTGCTCCGCATATCCATCTGGAAACCTTCCGTTGAAGTAATTTTGGGAAGGGGCGAAAAAACTGGTTAGCTGATTGGCCTATGTTGGTGATAGACGGGCCAAATAAACCAATCAGATCAACGAAGCATATGACGTACTAACAGAGCGACGACGAAGAGGAGCCAATTGATAGATCAAACTCTTGCTGAAACCAGTCGGGAGAAGAGCAAAAACATCTTTTCCTCTGAGAAAAGCCTCCAGAGCAGTGTTTTGCTCTTCTTTCAGTGAAGAAATACTCTGTAATTCCGATAAAACTTGCTCGATAGCCACGCTAACGCTAGTTTCATCGGCTGAAGCCGCCATGTTCTTTAGACTGAACTGTCGCGCTTCTGGTTGCGTCACACCTCAACCCGCCTCAAAGCCAACGCTGATTGGACGTTCGTTTGGTGAACTGCTCCAAATTTTCTTTAACGGAGAGTCTCCAGACTGATTAGCGAGTGAAACCTTGAAAGCTCGCGAGATCAGGATGGTCTCACGAGGCTAGTGATCCGTACCATTAGCTCAGTTGGGCATCCATATATACATCCGGGTTGACCTCAATTTTATTTTGTAAAAAAGACCTAAAATTACGTTTTTCCCTCCCCGAAAATAGTAAACGCATTAAACCATAATGTATTAAAGATTAATAAAGAATTTCCTGAGAAAATAAATGCATTTGTGTCGTTGTGTCCTTGGGCAAGACACTTCACCTGCATTGTCTACTGATGGTGGTCAGAGGGCCCGGTGGCGCCAGTGTATGGCAGCCCCGCTTCTGTCAGTGAGCCCCAGGGCAGCTGTGGCTACAATGTAGCTTGCCACCATCAGTGTGTGAGTGTGTGCGTGAATGGGTGAATGAATGTAGCGTAAAGCGCTTTGGTCAAGTTACCTGACTTGAAAAAGGCGCTATATAAGTACATGCCATTTACCATTTAAATCCTTTCTGTTTTATCACTCATCGGTGACCGATCTGCACCGGAAATGGGATCCTACGATAAATTCCAGGAGCTAACTTTTTTAGCTTTGGATTTAAACATAGATCTAGTCTTTTTGGGTTTTATGTTTTTCTTTCACGTTAACCTTATGATAAATAGTGCTTCATCTGAAGAAAGAAACAACTGAAATGCAGATGAACATGTTTTAATCCTATTTTGCCGGACTGCTCTGAGCAATGACCCGTGATGACGTCAGAGAAGCAGTTTAATAGAGAAAATGTAAAAAGCATCAAAATTGTCTAAAAAAGTCTGTAAAGTCAGTGTTATTTTGTGAGTTAAGGATAGAAATAATTAATTTTAGTATCATAATTACATCACCTGCGCTAATCAGCTGATTTTACGCATTGTTCTTCCGGGATGGATCGGGTAGGGACACCTGCGCTTGCTACATATCAGATGTGAATTTCAGACAGAACTATTCATATACTTGGATTATATATTAAACTACGATTCCAATATTCACCACTGTTAGGCGCCAAGTACATTTTTCCTCTGAGCACGGAGCAGCCGGCTTGCTTGGTCTCGCAATGAATCCTGGGAAAACCAAAGCTACCTAGGATACAGTGGACTCTTCCTTCAAAGAGGGGAGTGGCGGCCTAGTGGTTAGGGCATAGGGCTTTGAATCCTGAGGTTGTGAGTTCGATCCGCCACTCCCATGGACTGCTACTCTGGGTCCCTGAGCAAGACCCTTAACCCCCATACTGCTCCCCGGGCGCTGCACAATGGCAGCCCACTTCTCCCCAAGGGGATGGGTTAAAGGTACACTATGCAACCGATGTTAATTTTCCAGCGAGGCTCCCCCCAGAGGGCGAAAGTAAAAGTGCACTGTCGTAAATATGCTCAGCTGTTCTCCTGGTTTCTCCGTCAAGCCAGGCGCGGTTGTTTTGAGCTTAGCAGTTTTTGCTGCTCGACGCACCGCGTCAACCAATCAGAGAAGCTGATCTGGGAGCTGGCAGGGAGAGAGTCACAGCACTGATGATCACTCCTCTTAAACAGTTTATTGACGTCTAAATTAACTTAAAATGCAGAAATCTGTCGGCAGAATATGTTCGCTTTTATTATCCTGCTGCCTGCAGTTTAGATTATTTAGATGAAAAACACCTACCAGCTGCCGCGATGAACCGAGAGGAGGCGACCCGGCCAGAGGCTGCTGTTGAAGGGATTCCTACTGTCGGCGCACCGCTGGTATGTGGGGGTCTGAGCGGCTCCCACAGAAAAAATATTGGAAGGCAGGATGATAATCTGAATGAACTGACGGCACTGATTAAGTTTTCAGGTGGATTTTCACTTAAACACATATTAAAACTACTTTATTCCCACTGATCACAGCAAATATAGCTGCAAGGCAGAGAAAGGATAGTGAAGCTCCGCCCAACGCGCGTCAGACACACTTTTGCACCGCGCAGCCAGAGCAGCAAAGCTGCTTCAGACGCGCGTCAGAACTAACTGGTACAAGCAGCAAAAAGGAAGCAGCAGACGCGATTTTGCTGCTCTTGCTGCGTCCGGTGTGAATGTAGCATAAGGAGGTGGGGCGCACTAACCGCGCTGCGCTAATGCTGCCTACAGGTGTCAGCAGAGGCTGATTATGGCCAAAATAAAAGGAGCCTGGATGGAAGGAGAGGGGAGCTGATCCTGCAGGTGACAGAGACGGACACGCTGCAGAGCGACGGGCAGAACAGAGCGAACAGACGGCACTGGTCCGCCCGCGCCTGTAAGTGGCGCTCCGTCTCCATCAGAGTATGGTGCGGATTCCTCCCGCCCCCTCGCTCAGCAGCGTGTCCGTCTCTGTCACCAGCAGGATCAGCTCTGCCCTGGTGGCCTGATGATCTTCCTTTTCTTTAATTTATAGCCTCATTTTTACCTGCTGCTCTTTTAGTATCTGCAGATTATTTTTTAAATTCTGCTTCTCTCTGTTTTTTTGGTTTTTTTTCCTCTGTTATTTTAAATTTTTTTGGGGTGTTTGCATTATTCTCATCTTTGCGACATATTTAGCTGTGTGCGGGGCGTTTGCACCTCTCTGCCACCACAGACGCCCCTCTTTAATGCCGGCCTCTCATCCATTGAGACCAAAGGGATTTCTCTACCTCCCTCAGCCGCCTGTGGGCCGCTCATGGTGGAGGAATCAGAAAATGCCTGATTAGAAATTTTCAGAACCTCTGATTAGATTTATGTAGATAAATGTATTAGGCAACTCACTGGTGATTGTGTTGTGGTCTCCTAAGGGATCGGCAGCTGCAGCCATCACGCGGTGTCAGGAACCTCCAGTCAGACTCTGAGCTCTGCGGTCTCGGTCATGTTCATCCCTTACTTGCAACAGGAAGGTAAGGCGGCTCTTCATCCCGCTTCTAGCAGAGGCTCACGCCGCTCTGATGTTCTGGAGGTCCAGTTCTGCAGCCGCTGTTCTGTTTTTTGTCCAGTTCACGAGGGCACCTTGGTGCACGCAGTGGGGGTTCTGTCTCAGTGGAGCAGTCGCCTCACGGTGGAGGTCCCCGCCGCTCTGCTGGACTGGTTAAAGAAGGCGTTTACTCTGAAGACCTCCACCTCCGCCGTTCGCCATGCGTACCTTCAGACCATGCTGGGGGCCTTTAAAGGTAAAGTTGGGTGATGTTGGACGACTGGATCCTTCCGCTGTCCCCAGATCCGTTACCATCCGTTTTATTGCTTTCCAGGTGACACTTTGGCGCAGGCGTCAGACCTCATCCCGCTGCTCCTCCAGACAGTTGAGAAAGCTGCAGCACAAAACTCCCAGCATGCTTTGCTTGCAGAGGGTGTAGCAGCTTCTGTTCTTTTGAGTCGACTCTCTCTGCTGGAGACACAAACGGGTGAGACTTTGCTTCAGCAACCGACCTCTAAAGAATCTCTCATCCTTAAACTGCTGCAAACTTTATCTGTTCATAGAGGCCAAATTCAGCAGCTTCTGGAACCTGATCTTGGATGAGAAGAAACCGTTGTTCACCACCGAGAAGTTCCTGTCCCAAGGCAGCGAAGAGAGTAAGGAGCGTGAAGAAGGCAGTACTGGGAATAATCCTGAGCGATGAAATGATTGGTGTGTTCTGTCTGCAGCTCTGCTCACCGTGCTGCAGCTCTGCGAGAGGCTGTTTCTGGACCACGCTCAGCGACTGAACACCAGCAGATCCCAGTGAGTCTCCGTCCTTCCACAGCCGTGGTCCCGATATGGCATTGAACGTCACGCTCCTTTACGCCTCCTACCTTAAGTCTCTTTCGCACTTTAAAATAGCAGGGTAATGCGTGTTTATTAAACATGAGCCGACCCGCTAACAATCACTAATAGCTTGGTTTCACGTGACGTCACAGTGCTGCTTCGCGACGCCGCAAAACTCAGTTGGAGGGCAGGAAGTGAAGTAGCTGAGGATCTGCGTAGTGTAGTATACGGCTGCTCCAATCGTTCGAACCGAGAAAAGGAAAAGAGCTTTTACAAAGTACCAAAGATTGTCGTTCATAAAGGTGAAAAGTGTAAAAAGCTCACAGAACATCGCCGTAAAAAATGGATTTCAGACCTACGTCTGCGGTCTGAAGGAGCAGAGTCTGCCAATGCCCGTGTCTGCAGCGACCGCTTCGTCTGAGGTAAGCTATAACGTTATGTTAGCTAGCTAACTTTTTTTTGTGGTTGTGTTTATATAGCATAAGGTTGTCGTTAAATGCTCGTTTACTTAGTAATGATTAATAAGTTACCGGTAGTCTAATATGGACTTCATTGTGACTGTTTAGGCTGTCCTAGCGCTTTGGGTGACGTTAAGTCGGTAGACTGGGCTAACGCTAGCATCTTTTAACACATAAAACAACATAAGAACAAACACTCACCCTGGCGAAGACTAAACGATGATCGTCGTGGAGACGTTTGGTGCCGAGGTTGTGGACCCGCCCGCTGACAAAGAAGTTAGCTACCTCTATACTTTTATAGGCCTTAATTTGCTGTTTGGTGCATTCAGCTCGGCAAAGAACTCATGCTCTTCCTCAACACTGAAGTCCTCAGACTTTCTTCTTCTACGCTTGCATTATCGGCAGAGCAGATGCTGTATGCGCACTTTCATCTGGTTTGGTCTGCCGCGGTTTCCGTAGACTCGTGAACGCGCTTTCAGGAAATCCTATACACTACTGTTTATGCTCTAAAAACATTCTAAATGACTTCGTTTCGAGTAAATTCTGGATGCTACCCACTCAGGACACTTGGAATACATTGGATGAGCAGTATGGAGGAATATTGACACGTTTTTTGTGGACTTTTATGGACCTTTCTGCCTCGGGCGCCATAGACCTCCATTATTTGAATGTCAGCAGACAGCAAGAAGCCTCCCAGATCTCCAGATGCATTTGAGATATCAAAAAAGTACTCCAGAGTGTTGTTCAGCATGGGGGTGAGTAGAAAATGAAGGCTAATCATGTTTTGGGTGTACTATTCCTTTAAGACGGCCGACTGAATGTCACACGTTTGATTTTCTCTCAATGGGGAGGCGGTCGTGAGAGGCTGCTAAACTGCCACTGTCACTAAAAGCCCATTGTTCCCGGGTTTAAAGGAAAATTCTGGTCAGCAAGAATTGATAAATGGATCATTTTGTATACCTAAAACTAATACATTTGCGTAAAAAAAAAAAAAATACATCGAGCAAAAGTGAAAAAAAGAGTTATTCCACCTTTCTGATTCCTGATCCTCCACGGACGGGTTGGTCGTTGGATCGCCAACTTGAAGAGGGAGGATTTGCCATCGAACTTCTGGCCAGAGAAAAAACCCGTAATATGTAGCCAACATTTGGAAGAAGAATGTTTTCAAGATGACTTGGATAATAGGGCGTTGTGACAAACACCAGATACAGCACTGGGACTTGATCAACAGCCGATACCGCACCGTGACGTCACTAACCAGTAGGTGGCAGTAGTGTTCTTTGACAAACATGGATGCCTCCAGTAAAGCACATTCACATGAAAATTACTCTGAATTAAAAACACTGATCATTTATTGAACAGGATGGAATAATTTCAGATTTAAGGAACTTTCAGAAGTTTGAATTCTGAATATGACCGGACTTTTCCTTTAAACAGAATTTTCGTTCAGTGGGAAAGCCGTATTAATGAAGGAGGAGGTGTTTGGATTCAGCATCTCTCCCTCAGTTGTTGCGACTTTGGCTGAAATGCTGAATCTTTTCCTGCTTTGAATGTTTTCTTCTAAAGCTGTTTAGCTCGTCGATGTGGGCGGCTAATCCGCCTCACTGATGCTGAAGTTTGGAGGTTCCTCACTGGAAAAAAATCAAAATCTAGATAAGTCATTTTTTCTTAAAATAAGTGAATTTGTTCTTGAATTGAGGAGGTAAAAGACATTTGCCAATGGAACAAGACTATTTACACTTAAAATAAGAAAAGACAATTGCATTGACTTATTTCAAGTGTCTTTTATCTAAATATCTAATTTTAAGAGTAAAAATGCTAATTCCATTGGCAAATGATCTCATTTACCTTCTCAAATTAAGGTTAAATACACTTAATTTAAGAACTTTTAACTTATTTCTAGGTCGTTTTTCCAGTATGAAGCATTTTCCTTGGATCTCAGGGTTAGAAACATGGATTAGGAAGGCATGAAGCCGACTCACATGACGCTCCCTCTGCTCTGCAGGATGTATCATCAGGCCGCCGTTGCAGTGCTGCTGTCTCGGAGCTGGCGTGTGAGGAAGAAGGCCCGGCAGACGGTCAGGAAGCTGCTCTCCTCTCTGGGCGGCTCCAGTCTCGCTCACGGCCTGCTAGGAGAGCTGCGGGTCGTCATCAACAAACATAAAGTCAGTAACTCCTTCCTCTGTTCGCCACTTAGAGAAGATATCCAGCCATCTTTTCCAGGCGTTGAGCGGCTGTGCTGTTTACGCCTCAGGTTCTAGCGCAGGACGTCCTGCTGTCGGAGTCAGGAGAGCTGACGGAGCTCGGTCGCAGCTACATCCCACCTCGCGTCCTGCTGGACGCCCTGTGTGTCGTTTGCTCGGCTGCCAGCCAGTGGGGGGATCCGGCTGAGGCGGAGAATGTAGCAATGGAGACTCTGATTGTCACCCATCATCCCTCCATCGGTACGAGAAGGCGCCGCTCTCAGGTTTATAGCATCACCAACATCAGTAGGGTTTCATTGACGGCGTTCTGGTGTGATTGTCTTTCAGTCGGTGTTCGTCCCGGCCTGTGGCCCCTCCTGCTCTCCTCCATGAAGATTCGAGCTGAGGAGCTCATCGAGAAGAACCTGGAGGCCATCCTGCCACAGCTGCTGGAGGTCAATGCTGACAGCCAGGTCTGATGACATCTGCTCCTCCTCCTCTTTTTAACCAGACATTAGTTGATGGGTTTTTATTTGCCTCCACAACTAAAAAAATCTGTTGATGTTTAAAACTAAAAGGAAAGAAGGTCTTCTTCGTAGAATGAACACCCAATTAAAAAATGAAAGGAAGCAGCTTTAACCTGCAGCTGATGTGTTGATGGTTGAAAAGGTCTTTTATTTTCCACCCCGGCCCTGCTGGAGCATTTCTAATGCCTTGACATCCACATCAATTGCAACGTCAATTTGCAATGATGAGTGTCAAGAGGTTAATATCACCACTTTGACATTTCAATGACAGACACCACCGATAGTATTTAAATATGAAATGTAAGCAGCGCAGGTATAACTGAGAGGAAGGTTAGTGTGACGATTAATACAGATATCAGTTAAGCAGGAAGACCAGTTAAGACAGCAGCAATCCTCTTTAAGGTTAGGTGGGTGGAGGTTGGTTGAAGATCAGTGTTGTTTTTGACAGCCATCTTAGATTTAGTCTTATTTTAGTTTTAAGGACGAAAATTATTATTATAGCATAACCTTTACAATTTGGAATAACAACCAGATTCTTTAGCAGACTGACAGCTCTAGCCTAGATGCTACAATAGCTGGGTATATATAAGTTATACATATAATATATATAACTTAAATGGATGGTGCACGCTAACCACCGAGACACTGAAGCACACCCATCATATCCACTTTAATTGTAATACCGCCACCTAAAGGGCTGGAGGGAGAAATTTAGTATATTACTCTTTTATTTAAAAAGGGCATTTTTCTAAATTGTGATTATATTGCAAATGCAGTTAATTGCCCAGTCCTACCGTCCAGCATGAGGCATCATTAACCCCTCAATGCCTGAATTTATACCCAGTTGTAAAAAAATAAAAATAATAATTTTTGTTTTTGCTGTCAGTCGACTGTTAAATTAAAAACAGGTTAATTAGTGTAAATCCAGGTATGAATCTTATTATCGACACCAGGCTGCTAAGGAATAACACAAATTTTCAGATCTTGAAATAATGCTGTTAAGAGTCAGAAAATGAGTCAAACCCGGTTTGTAAACGAGCATTGCTCTTTATCGTGTTTGAAATTGAGTTAATCTGTGGAAAATTGATGATCCTGGGAGCTGCTGACCTTTTCTTTGTTCGTTAAAAATCGATCCAAAGGGTCACTGACTTTTATGCAGCAGCGGCTTTATGGTACTGGTCGAACGATGGGCCACCGCTACTAAACAAGTCTGTGTTCATCTGAACATAATGAATATTAACATATTTTTAATAATTCTTATATATGTTTTCATTTTTAAATTACTTTAAATGCAATTTTGATTCATAAAGAGAGAATCAGAGTAAATATAACTTTCAGACCGCAGCTCAAGTTGTGTTATTCTTAGAAGAAGGGCGCCCCCTGGTGACCACATGAGGCAGCCTGCAGGCATCACGCTGGGTTGGTGACCTCTGGCTTTTTTAAACCACCACTTCTTTTTATTATTAGTGTTTCAACTTTAGCTAAATTACTAAGCAACACTTTCCCTTTATTCACGATAACTAGTCAGGGTTAGAAACATGGAAAAAAAAAATTTTTTTGTCAACCATTGCTTTTAATTAATGTCAATATATACAGACCTTGGAGCTTTTATTCTCCAGTTTTATAAAAAAATAACTCTTTGTTAGACCATAAACACTTCAGTTATGGATTATCTGCTCAGCTTTGCTTTTTCATATTTTAAAGTTATTATTAGGTTCAGTTTTCAATCATCAAAATATATTGATCTTGTTTACTTCTACATTTATAATTCAAATATATTTTCATTCTTTGTTGTTTAAAGCAGGCAAAGAATCAAATGTTATATATCAGTTCGATTAGAAATCCGTAAGACATTTTTATCTTTGTTTATTTCTTCACTATTAGAAAGTATTTAAATCTTGTTTGATGGTTTATGTAAATATTCTGTGACTTTGGTTCTTTTTAACAGGCGGTGAAAAACGCAGTCGGTGCGCTCAGCGTCCTGTCGCCAAACAAGCTGTTGCCGCGGGTGATGAGTCATGTGATCGAAGGTCTGCGTCAGCCCGCTCTCCTCCAAGTCACCAGGGAGGAGTACGCCATCATGCAGACCCCAGATGGAGAGCTGCACGATAACAGCATCATCCAGAGGTGAGGCACAGCTGGACGCTCTGCACGTCTGATGCTCTTCACTCATCCCCACATGCCTTCCTTCCTTCCTTCCTTCCTTCCTTCCTTCCTTCCTTCCTTCCTTCCTTCCTTCCTTCCTTCCTTCCTTCCTTCCTTCCCTCTCTTTATTACATCCATTACTCCTTCCTCCTTCCTCCTTCCTTCCTTCCTTCCTTCCTTCCTTCCTTCCTTCCTTCCTTCCTTCCTTCCTTCCTTCCTTCCTTCCTTCCTTCCTTCCTTCCTTTATTCCATTCCTTCCTTCCTTCCTTCCTTCCTTCCTTCCTTCCTTCCTTCCTTCCTTCCTTCCTTCCTTCCTTCCTTCCTTCCTTCCTTCCTTCCTTCCTTCCTTCCTTCACTCATTCCTTTCTTTCTTTATTCCCTTCCTCCCTCCCTCCCTCTATCCATCAATTATTCCTTCCTTTATTCCATTCCTTCCTTCCTTCCTTCCTTCCTTCCTTCCTTCCTTCCTTCCTTCCTTCCTTCCTTCCTTCCTTCCTTCCTTCCTTCCTTCCTTCCTTCCTTCATTCATTCACTCATTCCTTTCTTTCTTTATTCCCTTCCTCCCTCCCTCTATCCATCAATTATTCCTTCCTTTATTCCATTCCTTCCTTCCTTCCTTCCTTCCTTCCTTCCTTCCTTCCTTCCTTCCTTCCTTCCTTCCTTCCTTCCTTCCTCTCTTTATTACATCCATTACTCCTTCCTTCCTTCCTTCCTTCCTTCCTTCCTTCCTTCCTTCCTTCCTTCCTTCCTTCCTTCCTTCCTTCCTTCCTCTCTTTATTACATCCATTACTCCTTCCTTCCTTCCTTCCTTCCTTCCTTCCTTCCTCTCTTTATTACATCCATTACTCCTTCCTTCCTTCCTTCCTTCCTTCCTTCCTTCCTTCCTTCCTCCCTCTCTTTATTACATCCATTACTCCTTCCTTCCTTCCTTCCTTCCTTCCTTCCTTCCTTCCTTCCTTCCTTCCTTCCTTCCTTCATTCATTCATTCATTCATTCATTCATTCATTCATTCATTCATTCACTCATTCCTTTCTTTCTTTATTCCCTTCCTCCCTCCCTCTATCCATCAATTATTCCTTCCTTCCTTCCTTCCTTCCTTCCTTCCTTCCTTCCTTCCTTCCTTCCTTCCTTCCTTCTTCCCTCTCTTTATTACATCCATTACTCCTTCCTTCCTTCCTTCCTTCCTTCCTTCCTTCCTTCCTTCCTTCCTTCCTTCCTTCCTTCCTTCCTTCCTTCCTTCCTTCCTTCCTTCCTTCCTTCCTTCCTTCCCTCTCTTTATTACATCCATTACTCCTTCCTTCCTTCCTTCCTTCCTTCCCTCTCTTTATTACATCCATTACTCCTTCCTTCCTTCCTTCCTTCCTTCCTTCCTTCCTTCCTTCCTTCCTTCCTTCCTTTATTCCATTCCTTCCTTCCTTCCTTCCTTCCTTCCTTCCTTCCTTCCTTCCTTCCTTCCTTCCTTCCTTCCTTCCTTCCTTCATTCACTCATTCCTTTCTTTCTTTATTCCCTTCCTCCCTCCCTCCCTCTATCCATCAATTATTCCTTCCTTTATTCCCTTCCTCCTCCTTCCTTCCTTCCTTCCTTCCTTCTTGTTCCTCCTTCCTCCTTTCCTTCCTCCCTCCCTTCCTTCCTTCCTTCCTTCCTTCCTCCCTTCCTTCCTTCCTTCCTTCCTTCCTTCCTTCCTTCATTCATTCACTCATTCCTTTCTTTCTTTATTCCCTTCCTCCCTCCCTCCCTCTATCCATCAATTATTCCTTCCTTTATTCCATTCATTCCTTCCTTCCTTCCTTCCTTCCTTCCTTCCTTCCTTCCTTCCTTCCTTCCTTCCTTCCTTCCTTCCTTCCTTCCTTCCTTCCTTCCTTCATTCACTCATTCCTTTCTTTCTTTATTCCCTTCCTCCCTCCCTCTATCCATCAATTATTCCTTCCTTCCTTCCTTCCTTCTTTTATTCATTCATTCATTCATTCATTCATTCATTCATTCATTCATTCATTCATTCCTCCCTCCCTCCCTCCCTCTGCAGTGCCCAGAAGGAAAACACCAAGAAGGTGAACATGAAGAGGGAAAACAAGGCCTACTCCTACAAGGAGCAGATCATTGAGCTGGAGTTACAGGAGGTGGGCTGAACTTCTGGCCGAGTGTTTGATGGTTCGTCCCAGAAAATGGGTTTCAACCTGTCTGCTTATTTCTGCAGGAGATGAAGAAGAAAAAAGGCATCAAAGATGAAGTTCAGCTGACCAGCAAGCAGAAGGAAATGATTCAGGTTCAGCTGGAGAAGGAGTCGGCTGTCCGCAAGCGACTTCAAGGGGTAAGATTGACAACAAGAGATGATCAAAGTTAGATTCCTAGCTTCTCTCTGACGGTGAGCGTCTCCAGATGGATGCGGAGCTGCAGAGCGTGGTGGGTCTGCTGGAGGCCACTCTGAAAGCAGGACCAGCTCAGATCGGCTGGGAGCTCCCCGCAGTCCTGCAGGTCCTGATTCCGCTGCTGCAATCCCCTCTTGCTGCTCCGCGCATCCAGCAGGTCTTCCTGGACATCGGGGTGTCCCTCATGCCCCGACACCTCCACCACCTGGGTAACAAGGCTTTTTATGACACGTGAGCCATGATCTTCAGAGCTCAGCTCACCGAAGCTTCTTTTTCCCCTCCCAGCTGCACTCGTGGGTCATGTGACCTTACGGCTGCTGAAGCCTGAGTGTGATCTGGATCCGGCGTGGAGCGAGGAGGACCTGGACACTGCGGCCAACCGCACCGTGCTCCTGCTGCATGAGCACACCGTCCCTCAGAGAGAAGGCAAGACTGCAGGTAGGCTGGTTTACAGCTGGAGCTGAACTCTATACTGGAACCAGTGCCAGTAGTACCAGTAACGTACCAGTCTTTAAAGGAATAGTACACCCAAAACATGATTAGCCTTCATTTTCTACTCACCCCCATGCTGAACAACACTCTGGAGTACTTTTTTGATATCTCAAATGCATCTGGAGATCTGGGAGGCTTCTTGCTGTCTGCTGACATTCAAATAATGGAGGTCTATGGCGCCCGAGGCAGAAAGGTCCATAAAAGTCAACAAAAAACGTGTCAATATTCCTCCATACTGCTCGTCCAATGTATTCCAAGTGTCCTGAGTGGGTAGCATCCATAATTTACTCGAAACGAAGTCATTTAGAATATTTTTAGAGCATAAACAGTAGTGTATAGGATTTCCTGAAAGCGCGGTCATGCGCGCTCACGACGCTACGGAAACCGGCAGACCAAACCAGCGCATTCAGCTCGGCAAAGAACTCATGCTCTTCCTCAACACTGAAGTCCTCAGACATTTTTCTTTCGTCGTTTCTTTCTTTGCACAGGTAAACAGCACATTTCTTCTTCTACGCTTGCATTATTGGCAGAGCAGACGCTGAATGCGCACTTTCATCTGGTTTGGTCTGTTACTGTTTGTTCTTAGATGCTGAAACTGAAACCAAAAATCGTGGCTTTTTTTTTTTAAGAGTAAACTGACAGTTCAGACAGATGATCACTGCTTTTTACTCCTTTGGTCACGTAACTCCTCCTCCACCGCGTGGTGCCTCCGCCATCTTTGTTATTAGTCGACACTCTCTGGTAGCGACAGCCTATGGCACGGGTAAAAATCAGCAGAGACTGAATAAAAAAAATCAACACCCAGTAAAGGTCTGGAGACATTTTCAATTATAATCTTTTACTTTAAACAGAATTTAACACTGAAATAAAATGCATCTGTTTATGCATTCATGTTATACATTTAATTTTTAAATAGAAAATATAAAAAAAGGAAAATTTTTCCATTTTAAAATCTAAAGAATTTTTTGAAGTAGAGAACAACAATCGTTCAGTTTGGTTTATAGATAATTTCCTGATTCCCATATTTTCTCAAACCCCTGAACTGATGGTTTGTTATTTTCTTTCTTCTTTCTGTCTTAATGTTGGCAGTGGGCTTTAGGCTGCCCTGTAAGGCTTTAAACCTGGGTTTAACCGGAGACTAAGCCATTCTCAAGCACATATCAAGGAGCTCATTTTGAGCCAGGATCCAGATTTATTGTTGATTCTGTTCATGGTGGAGAATCCTGCTTCACAGCAGCAGGTTGAGCCAAACATCCTCTAAATGTGCAGGGTCATCTTTGAGCACGCCATTTCACTTTTCTTTCACCAGTTCACCGCAGTTCTTCCAGCAGTCCACACTTTCTCTGCTCTCTTTTTCTCATGGTCTTCTCCTTCTTTCCCATCGCCCGGCTTGCCACAGGTTTGCCTGCTGTGTCTAAAAGTAGCAGCAGCAGCAACCCAGACTGACAGCTCATTGGCTCATTTGGATCACGTGCAGCCTGGAGCCGGACGCTCCCCAGGGCTTTACCGTATTAACAGGAGAAGCGGCGCAAGTGACGTTAAGACACTGTCAAATCGGGTTGGATCCGGATCTGGATCCCAGTCCACTAATCCGTGACTTCTTCTCTATACGCAGTCAGTGCGAAATGGTTAAAAAAAATCAGATCGGAGATTAAAAAGTCGGTCGGAATTGTCGTTTTCAGGCATTAAGCTTCGAGCAACTAAAGTAGGTTCAGCCCTGGGTTACCAAAGCCTGCTTCACTGCCGTCATTGATGGTCTCCTCGTGGAGCGTCGCTCCCTGCCGCAGCTCCACAGACTGAAACCAACGCTGAGGTGCCTCTGTCTCCCCCGCCAGGTGTCGCTCCGCTGGCGGCTCCCGCCTTCTCCTTCTGCTTCCCTCTCCTCAACGCAATGCTCAGGGAGTATTCAGGCAGCACAGAGGAGACGGAGAGCTTGATGACCAGAGCCCTGCAGGTCATCAACGTGCACTCGCAGCTACGTTCCAGCCTGGAAGCTGATGACATGACCATAGACGAGGTAGAAACATGCCTTTCCTCCTCCTTATGGTTGCAGGATTTTTTAGATGATTGTTTTTCTGCTTTTAGTTTCCAGAGAGAATCAATAGTTGTATCAGTCTGCTCCATGTTGTGACCATTTACTGATGTAATCCATGACGTGCTCCTTGTTTCTTTTAGAACGGACCTGAGCTCCTCCCACGTGAGAACATGATGCTGCTGCTGACCAGAGTCATTTCCACAGCGACGCCCAGGCTGCAGGTGAAGCTCTTGTTTTCCTCCTGCTGGTCAGGATGTTCTCTGAGCAGCAGGTCTTTAGTAGGAAGCATCTCTTTGCTCTTCATCTCCTTGTTCCTCCACGTTCGGGTCTGAAGGGCCTTTTCTCAGTCGTCGTTCATCAGATTCCGTCTTTGAATGCACAAGCGTAACTTTGTGAAGGACTGGTGTATGGAGGATAAAAAGTGCCAAAATTAAATAAGTAAATTCAGCATTAAATAAATAATTAAATGTGGAATCAAATAAATAAATAAATGTGTCATTCATTAATTAAAACCACGTCACTAATATAAAGTGCCACAATTAAATAAATACAGCGATAAACAATTAATTAAATGTGTAATTCATTAAATAAATAAGGAAATAAATATATAAATGTGTCATTAATTTAATAAAATACGTCTTCATTTTATTAAAAAAATATATATAATTATTTCAGTGTGCATTTAATTATTTCATGGTACTGTGTCGCATCGAAACCATTAAAAAAATCTGTCAAACTCACCCATCAAAGTTAGGGGGCGGGGTTAACGCGAATCGAGTCTCTGTAATCGATTTGCTTCGCCTTAATGTGCAGGGTAACCGCCCCCTAACTTTGATGGGTGAGTTTGACAGATTCTTTGAATGGTTTCGATACACTGCGACACAGGACCATGAAATAATTAAATGCACACTGAAATAATTATATATATTTAATTCCTTATATATTTAATGAATTACACATTTAATTGTTTATCGCTGTATTTATTTATTTAATTGTGGCACTTTATATTAGTGACGTGGTTTTAATTAATGAATGACACATTTATTTACTTAATTCCACGTTTAATTAATTATTGACACATTTAATTATTTAATTTTGGCACTTTTTATCCTCCATACTGGTGTGGACTCATCCCCACCATTAATTTCAGCGCATAGACTTTAGCTTTTAACAATATGTGGGACAAATTTCTAAATTTTATTTTGTTGCTTTTGAAGGAAGATAATCACTGATGTAGCTGAAAAGGAAAACATCCAGTATTCAATCTACATTTTTCTGGGTGGAGTGATGGATGGATGAATGAAACTGAAATAGTTTACATACTAGGGAGGAATGCTATATTGCTTTTGGCATCGGAATTGGCTTTTATTGATTATTTTTTTATACATAAATGTCTAACTACCCATAAATATAGATATCAGTGTAGGGCTCGATGTTAACCATCGCCCGATCTCCCAATCGCAAGTAGTTTTTATTGTCGGCAGAGTACAAATTTCATTACATTTGCCCGCCGTGCGAGTGCAATGATCGCAAAAAAATTTTTTTTATCACTCAAAATGACTTTAAAATTACCGACATTCACTGAAAACGACCCACAAGCGCTGCCGGCGCCATCTTTGTTGTTTTGTACACATTCTCGCGTGATTTTCCGCTAGATGACGTCATTCAGCTCTTGGGGAGAGAATTCTGCAGAGCAGCAGCTGGATGATGAATTTAATCTATACTATAACACACGCTAGATTAAAAATGATCAGTCAGGGATTATGAAATATAATAATAATAACTGTATGTGCACAGTGTAAATATTTCTATGATATGGCAGTCTTCTGTACAGTGGTTATACATTTAAAAATGTTCATTACTTAGACATTGGAGTGGTGCATTTAAATGTTATAGAGCTAAACATGTTAGATTGGTGAGTAGTAGTAGTGTAAGTTTTTAACCTGTCAAGTTTTTTTTAGATTTTTAACATTACAATTTATATTTTTTCAAGCACACAACAGTTTAAAGCAAAGTTTAGTTTGAAAAGAATGTGCAGGAAGGATTAAAAAGCATGTTAACACGGTAATGTAGGCTTGAGTTCATTATCTGACGCATGCAGAGACACACCAGGAACCTGGAAACTTACTGAATTACAAAAAAAGATAAAAAAATCAAACAAGTTTCATTGATATATATACAAAAATGAATATTAGGAACTATATTTATCCAACATTATACTGGGCAAGTGGAAATTGTTTCTGGGCAAATGAAATGTGAAAGTCACTTGCCCAAAGGACAAGTGGTAAAGATCATTAACGTGAACCCCTGCAGTGTATTTTGTTTTTTTTTGTGTTCCCAACAATTGGAAAGTATTCCATCAGCCCACACCTTTAGAGAGTCCCCACCAACTTTCATCACAAAGTTCCACCCTCGTTTAAACGTGTTCCTGCTGTGTTTTTCTCAGGTTCTTGCGTCTCAGTGCCTGACGGCGCTGTGTGCCAGCGCAGGAGGAGGCGACGGCTGCACGGTGGCCGAGCAGCCGGAGATCGACGTCCTGCTCAGCGCCCTGCTTTCCTCCTGCTTCTCTGTCAGAGATGCTGCTCTCAGGGTGAGCTTTGGGCACCACAGAAGAAGAATAAGTGTTGGATAATAAGCTTTATTATAGGATTCAGATTGTCTTGGACAGGCATGGCTCACAGAGCTCGGTCGCTTTGCGTTTGAACCCGTGATCTCTGTGGTCTGCAGGGGTTGTTGGAGATGGAGTTCGCTCTATCTACAGACAGCACCGAGAGCAGCGGGATGAGTTTGCTGCGCAGGCTTTGGGTTGCCAGGTTTGATGTTGAAGAGGAGGGACGAGCCTTGGCTGAGAGGTATAGAAAATATAAACTTTAATATCACACAAAATGCTCAGGACGGTGCTGCACGCTCAACTCTGACGCAAACAGCTCCTCCAGCTGTGCTTGTGCAGATATTAGCTCAGAGTATGCATTCTACGCTCCACTCTGATGGTTCTTTCTAAGCAGCATGGCTCTTCCTGCTCTCGCTACTTAATAAACTATATGTGGCTGATCATCCTCTGCCAACTGTAAAAAAATCTTTTTGTCTAACTTTCAAGATTTTATTTCTTCCAGCTCACAAGCCCTGATGCTAAACCTTTCATTTCTACCAGAAGGAATCCCTAAATTGTATCCAAAGCAAATATTTCATTGAAATAACTTTTAATCTCTGTTCGACCCGACCCTTCTAAAAATAATATATACACATTTTTTTGATGTCTTAATCGGGGTCATTGGGTGGGTGGCCCTAGCGCCCTCTATTGACCAGCCGCCACTGAATCATACCGTTTGGTTTCTAGATGTCTGCCACTAGAGATGCAGTATTTTGACTCTTCTGATTGGCTGGTTGGTTTTCTTAATTTACACGCAGTTAAAAAGCCGTTAGCGCAGAGAGCCGAGCGAGCAAAGAAAAGGAGAGAAGTAAGAACCCAGGTGGTGGAGCAGAGTTTGTCTGAGGGGAGCAAACGGCAGACGGGTTTTGAGAGAAAGGGTGTGAGTTCAAACGCCACATCAGTTGCTCAAAAGTTACGCCTTAATGATCAAATTCAGAGAAAACAGACAGGAAGGAGGATTTAAAGCTTTTGTATATTTAATTCCTGGTTGATCTCTTCATGTTCTTCTTGTTGGACGTTCAGTCCAGATAACATCCTGATCTCTGCTTTTCTTAATGCTCTTTGCTCCAGTCGAGCCTTCTCTTGTTTTTACCGATGGCGTTCTGCTGCCTTCCCCACGTAGAAATGCTAATCCCTGCTTTGTTCCTCAGACTCTGGGAGTCTCTGGGTTTGGAGCTGGTCCCTGAGCTCTGCACGCTGCTGATCGGAGACATCACTCACCATGAGGAGGCCATCCGCTCTGCAGCAGCAGAGGCCCTCTCTAGCGCTGTGTCCCAGTACAGAGACCAGTCTGCCGCCGTGCTCGGTCAGCTCACTGAGCTCTACCATCAGAAACTTTATGTGAGTGTCTCCTTAGCGGCCGTCTTGCCACTGGACGATGCTCAGACGAAGTAAACGTCGTTTTTGTGTCTGCAGAGGCCGCCTCCTGTCCTGGACGCTCTGGGAAGAGTGATCTCAGAATCTCCGCCGGACCAGTGGGAGGCCAGGTGGGAGAGCTGCACACGCTTAGACGGTTTCCAGGAGTTTTCAGGTTTTCTGATGCTGCTGCTCCAGCTAACCGACCTCTTCCTGCCGGTTTCCCACAGGTGCGGCATTGCTCTGGCTCTCAACAAGCTGTCGCAGTACCTGGACGAATCTCAGGTCACGCCTCTCTTCCTGTTCTTTGTGCCTGATGCCCTGAACGACCGGCACGTCGAGGTGCGGCGCTGCATGCTGGATGCCGCCCTCTCAGCGCTCAACACGCATGGAAAGGTAGCTCCCACTTGTCTTCCTGTTTGGGCCGGCGTCGCTGTGCGGCGTACCGAGCTTGGTGCCTTATGTGTCTGTCCTCTGTGTCAGGATAACGTGAGCTCCCTGCTGCCGGTGTTCGAGGAGTTTCTGAAGAACGCCCCGCAGGACGCCAGCTACGACTCGGTTCGTCAGAGTGTCGTAATCCTCATGGGATCTTTGGCCAAACATCTGGATAAAAACGACCCGAAGGTCAAACCCATTGTGGCCAAGCTTATAACGGCGCTGTCTACGCCGTCACAGCAGGTACCGCCTGTTCTTCACCCCGGCTCCGCTCTCCCTGGACCACAGCAGCTCTCTAAGCGTTGGTCTTCCCACGCAGGTCCAGGAGTCCGTGGCTGGCTGCCTGCCTCCTTTGGTTCCGGCCATCAAGGAGGACACAGCAGGAATCGTCCGGAATCTGCTGCAGCTGCTGCTGGAGAGTGACAAGTATGCGGAGCGGAAAGGAGCGGCGTACGGCCTGGCTGGGCTGGTCAAAGGCCTGGGCATCCTGGCGCTCAAACAACAGGACATCATGACCACGCTGACAGACGCCATTCAGGACAAGAAGAACTTCAGACGAAGGGAAGGTCAGTGGCGGTGCGACCACGGCTCCATTTCCTGATTAGTGTGTTCAGACGCTGAGGAGACGAAGCATCTCAGCAGCTCATCCTCCAGGTTTTTATTTAGGTGATGCTGGTTGACACCCGGTGCTTCTGTAGCTTCCAGTGATTCACCAGTTCACAAACCCGACCCACTGGACGGGCGGAACCAGAACCACTGGACAGGAAGCTTTTCTGGCATCACTGTAGCTAGCTGTGATGTGGTCGTCATGGAGACCAACTCCAGCAACCTGTTTTGTGAGCCTGATGGTCGTCAATTAGAACAGACGGCCTTCAGGTGTCACATCATTTTAATTCCCCAGAGAAATAGAAGGAATGATTGGTTCCTCTAGTGCAGAGGTCGCGGATTAGCAGACCAGGGTCTGGATCCGGACATTTTTTCGGGAATCCCACGGGTCACGGGATTCCCACGGGATGGGAGTCAGTATTAGTAACGATCACGTGATTGGGACGGTACAGGATTAAACTTTTAACGGGAGCAGACGGGAGCGGGAGCAAACCGATAATAACTAAAATAAACTAGGATTGATGCCAAAAAAATAAAATAAAATAGAAAGAAAAAAAAATCCAGTACTGGCGCCGCCATTTTGTAGTTTTTTTCCTTGAAGCCTACACTATAATGCGAGTCAAAAAAACTACACGACCCAAAAACCAACAGTGCTTCCGTTCTGAGTTTTTCACCCCCGCTCTCAAAAACAACAATGGAGGGACCAACAGTTGGCGGCGAACTCGACTTCGAAAAGTTTGATTTGCAACGCAAGCTGAGAAGTAAGGACGTATCTGTAAAACTCACGGAGCTGACAGGAAAGTCTCAGATATTACCCAACTTCTTAAAAGTAACTTCTTCGTTCAAAGGAAACAATTAATACATTTCTAAAAGGCAATATTGTACATTTTGTTTATTCACCTAAGATAAGCATGGTCTGTTTCCTTGTTACTTTTATTATGTATTTATAGTTATTATTCCTTTTACTTTAACTGACCTTTACTACAGTTAGAAACAGGAACTTAACTGACCCTTCATAGAAATTCAGATTCAATGTATTGGCAGAAATCTTATTGAAGACAACAAGAATGAGAGTGGGAGTCATTCTGAATGGGAGTGGGAGTGATTTCACCAGGAGTGGGACGGGACAGGATTTAGATTTCTACTCTGGCCCGGGATCAGGACGGGACAGGAGTGAAAATCCACTCCCGTGTCAGTCTCTAGTCCCGACCCAACCTGATTTAAAACATTTATATAACATTTATATGCACCTCTTCTGCTGTTAATACAGTAAAGCCCTGGGGAGCGTCCGGCTCCAGGCTGCACGTGATCCAAATGAGCCAATGAGCTGTCAGTCTGGGTTGCTGCTGCTGCTACTTTTAGACACAGCAGGCAAACCTGTGGCAAGCCGGGCGATGGGAAAGAAGGAGAAGACCATGAGAAAAAGAGAGCAGAGAAAGTGTGGACTGCTGGAAGAACTGCGGTGAACTGGTGAAAGAAAAGTGAAATGGTGCTCAAAGATGACCCTGCACATTTAGAGGATGTTTGGCTCAACCTGCTGCTGTGAAGCAGGATTCTCCACCATGAACAGAATCAACAATAAATCTGGATCCAGGCTCAAAATGAGCTCCTTGATATGTGCTTGAGAATGGCTTAGTCTCTGGTTAAACCCAGGTTTAAAGCCTTGCAGGGCAGCCTAAAGCCCACTGCCAACATTAAGACAGAAAAAATAAAAGAAAATAACAAACCATCAGTTCAGGGGTTTGAGAAAATATGGGAATCAGGAAATTATCTATAAACCAAACTGAACGATTGTTGTTCTCTAAATCAAAAAATTCTTTAGATTTTAAAATGGAAAATTTTTCCTTTTTTTATATTTTTTATTTAAAATTCAATGTAACGGCCGACCATGGTTAGAATCCGGCCTGTGGTTCTTTCCCGCATGTCTCTCCCCCTCTATAATCTCCCCTTTCCTGACAGCCTACTGTTGGAAAAAAAAAACAACCGAGCCACTAGTGCCATAAAAACTCAAAAAAAAAAAAAAAAAAAGGTCAACATTTTTTATTTAAAAATTCAATGTATAACATGGATGCATTTTATTTCAGTGTTAAATTCTGCTTAAAGTAACAGATTATAATTAAAAATGTTTTCAGATCTTTACTGGTTGATTTTCTTTATTCTGACCCCGCTGGTTTTTAATTGGTTACCCCTGCTCTAGAGTCTGATCCATTAGAAGGATTTCAGAGGATTTTAGTGACTCAGAAACATGGATCTGAGCAGACGTCCCCTGCAGAAACTGACGGGAGTGAAAAACATGTGGTTTCAGGAGCGCTGTTTGCCTTCGAGATGCTGTGCAACATGCTGGGGAAGCTGTTTGAGCCATACGTGGTCCACGTGCTGCCACACCTCTTGCTTTGCTTTGGAGATGGAAACCAGTATGTCCGGGAGGTGAGTTGCTTCCAGGAGATCTGAGATCAAATGTTTTTCCACCTCTTACCAAACAGATTTAGGAAACAAATGGACAGATGTGTTGTTAAATGTGTTGGGTTGTTTTCCAGGCTGCAGACGACTGCGCCAAAGCTGTGATGAGGAACCTGAGCGCCCATGGGGTGAAGCTGGTGCTCCCTTCTCTCCTGGTGGCCCTGGAGGAGGAATCATGGAGGACCAAAGCAGGTGAGACTCAGAAGATAACCCCCTTTCTATTGTAGTTTTTTAATCTTTTTGAAATAATCTTACCAGGTTGTTTTAACCTCCTCTCCTTCTCCTCTCTCCTGCCATCAGGCTCGGTGGAGCTGCTGGGCGCCATGGCGTTCTGCGCGCCCAAACAGCTGTCCTCCTGCCTGCCCAGCATCGTACCCAAGCTGACGGAGGTCCTGACCGACTCCCACGTCAAGGTGCAGAAGGCGGGCCAGCAGGCCCTGCGGCAGATCGGCTCCGTCATCCGCAACCCTGAAATCTTGGGTGAGTGACTCCCAGATGAAGCTGCTGCCGGCGTAATTAATCACAGATGGGTGAAAAGAACCACGAGTTAGCTTTAGCCCAGTCAGATTTGATCTGTTTCACCTTAGGGAGGAGAGGCAGCATTAGTGGGAAGGAAATCTAGAAAGGAAGTCAGATTCACTAGAGAAGCAGACAAACTGAGGATGTTGGAGCAAAGCTGCTCTGCTGGAAGCGCTGGATTAGAAAATGTTAAAAGCTTCTGGGAGTCTGACTGAGGCTAACCTGATGTTAACAATAGTAATAAAAGAAAACATGCACATCACATTGCATGGTCATTATGAATTCATTGAAGTCTCTGAATCATATAATATAACATATTATACAAATCCATCACAATAAAATTAATGTGCTAATTGAGCAGAATAATACAGATGAGCCAAACGTGCTAAATTGATGATGTACATGTAATATGCATGTGTTTATGACATTGTTATGGTAATTACATCTTACATAGAATATAATTTGAAGACTTTACATACTAAATTGTGCATGCATGAGATATATATATAATTTTTTCCCCCCTCAATATAACATAGAATCAGAGATGGGAAATAACGAAGTACAAATACTTCGTTACTATACTCAAGTAGATTTTTCTGATATTTTTACTTTACTTTACTACTTATTTTTATGGCGACTTTTTACTTCTACTCCTTACATTTTTACACAAATATCTGTACTTTCTACTCCTTACATTTTAAAAAATTGTCTCGTTACTTTAGTTTTGAATCATTTCAATGGAGTTACCGTTATTATTTTTCACGTCATCAATACCAAATTCAATCTAATTGGATGGGAATCTACGTTGCATTTGACGCACCACTACAAGATGAATCGACAGATTCGGCGGTATTCATTGGCGGCAAATCATTGCAGCTTGGTGGCGGTGGCGTTAGCATAGTAGCATGGACGACGAGATGATTGGAAATGAACACAACGGAGATCTAGTCCTATTGGCAGACATCCATTTAAAATGTAGGCAACGGCATGAAAAAAGTGGTTTCTACTTTTACTTTTATAGTTTAAGGAAATTTACAAGCCTGTACTGTGTTACTTTTACTTGAGTAAAGAAGTTTAATCAGTACTTCCACTTTAACCAGAGTATTTTTTAACACAAGTATCTGTACTTTTACTCAAGTACGGAAAGTGAGGACTTTTGCCATCTCTGCATAGAATATATTTTAGCACATGACTTTTTCATGACAAATATAACAAAAATGACATCGTCATCCATAAAGAATTACTGCATTGACATTTCACAGTGAATTACTTTCTATTTTCTAACGTTAGACCCAATTTCAGTGTTTAACTCAGTCAATTACCCCATTTACAGGTGCTGGTCATAAAATTAGAATATCATGAAAAAGTAGATTGATTTCAGTAATTCCATTTAAAAAGTGAAACTTGTATATTATATTCATACATTACATACAAACTCATATATTTCAGATGTTTATTTTGTTTAATTTTGATGATTACAAATGACAACAAATGAAAATCTCAAATTCATCATATCAGAAAATTAGAATATTGTGAAAAGGTTCAAAATTGATGGCCCCTGGTGCCACACTCTAATCAGCTAATTAACTCAAACCACCTGCAAAAGCCTTTAAATGGTCTTTCAGTCTAGTTCTATAGGCTACACAATCATGGGGAAGACTGCTGACTTGACAGTTGTCCAAAAGACGACCATCGACACCTTGCACAAGGAGGGCAAGACACAAAAGGTCATCGCTAAAGAGGCTGGCTGTTCACAGAGCTCAGTGTCCAAGCACATTAATAGAGAGGCGAAGGGAAGGAAAAGATGTGGTCGAAAAAAGTGTACAAGCAAGAGAGATAACCGCACCCTGGAGAGGATTGTGAAACAAAACCCATTCAAAAATGTGGGGGAGATTCACAAAGAGTGGACTGCAGCTGGAGTGAGTGCTTCAAGAACCACCACACACAGACGTATGAAAGACATGGGTTTCTGCTGTCGCATTCCTTGTGTCAAGCCACTCTTGAACCACAGACAGCGTCAGAAGCGTCTTGCCTGGGCTAAAGAGAAACAGGACTGGACTGCTGGTGAGTGGTCCAAAGTCATGTTCTCTGATGAAAGTAAATTTTGCATTTCCTTTGGAAATCAAGGTCCCAGAGTCTGGAGGAAAAGAAGAGAGGCACTTCATCCACGTTGCTTGAAGTCCAGTGTAAAGTTTCCACAGTCAGTGATGGTTTGGGGTGCCATGTCATCTGCTGGTGTTGGTCCATTGTGTTTTCTGAGGTCCAGGGTCAACGCAGCCACATACCAGGAAGTTTTAGAGCACTTCATGCTTCCTGCAGCTGACCAACTTTTTGGAGATGCAGATTTCATTTTCCAACAGGACTTGGCACCTGCACACAGTGCCAAAGCTACCAGTACCTGGTTGAAGGACCATGGTATCCCTGTTCTTAATTGGCCAGCAGACTCTCCTGACCTTAACCCCATAGAAAATCTATGGGGTATTGTGAAGAAGAAGATGCAATACACCAGACCCAACAATTCAGAAGAGCTAAAAGCCACTATTAGAGCAACCTGGGCTATCATAACACCTGAGCAGTGCCACAGACTGATCGACTCCATGCCACGCCGCATTGCTGCAGTAATACAGGCCAAAGGAGGCCCAACTAAATACTGAGTGCTGTACATGCTCATACTTTTCATGTTCATACTTTTCAGTTGGCCAACATTTCTATAAATCCTTTGTTTTTATTGGTCTTCAGTAATATTCTAATTTTCTGATATGATGAATTTGAGATTTTCATTTGTTGTCATTTGTAATCATCAAAATTAAACAAAATAAACATCTGAAATATATGAGTTTGTATGTAATGTATGAATATAATATACAAGTTTCACTTTTTAAATGGAATTACTGAAATCAATCTACTTTTTCATGATATTCTAATTTTATGACCAGCACCTGTACACTACCTTTGAAAAACCGATCCATGCCGACACCGGTCCGAGCTCGGCTCAGTTAACCAGGCCGAGCTCGGTTCTGACGACCGTTTACACATCACGCTATCTCTGTTCCTGTGTTTTGATCACTTTCATTTAGAGCTTCAAACATTAAATTAACATAATTTTTCGTTCAGACTCAGCAGTGTATTGCAGTGAGCTTGTCGTAGATATTTTTGATTTATTCCTAATTTTGAAGCGTGGTCTGCGCTGTTATTCCACGCCACAACGCAAGAGGGACAATCAGGAACTAGCCAGGATTGTGTGTGTCCGTGTGTCGGTTTGACGAGCTTGTTCGCCGTCTACAATCCCTCATCCAACGCCGGACGATATACAGTTCACCATGAGTGTTTCCAAAAGACTGGGCGCGGTGCTGCGTGTTTAGGCTTCAGGTGCAAACCAACAGACCGTCACACAGAGCTACAAATTAGCGTCCTGCACGGTGTCTGGGATAGTGTCCGAGGCGTGCCAGGCGCTGTGAACGGCACTACAGCCAGAGTTTTCAAACAGGATTCGGTACCAAACAGGAAATACGCATAGTGTAGAGCGGATGTAGAATTGACCAATCAGAGGCCTCCTGTCTGCGGCGCTGTCTGCGGTCACCTACAATTTTGGACAATTTTGCAGAGGTGCAGCAGAGTGTCTGCACAGGGAGGGGGTGGTATTTGCGTTAACTGTGACACATGGAGACAACCTGGTTTCTGAGTATAAACCAGACTTAAGTTACAAGACATTTTTAGTAAATATTTGTTTTTGTTTTTACAGTAAATAAGTCAAGTTGGAAATGTGCTTTGGAAACCTTGTGTTTATTTAAGCCGTGCTATATAAATTAGGGATGCACGATATAATCGGTCCCCTATCGGTATCGGCCTTAAAACTGAATATCGGACATCGGCCACCCCAAAAAAAAAAAGATACTTCTTCTTCTTCTTCCTCAAAAACTTCTTTTTTACAGACTTAAAAACTTCTAAAGACGAGGGAAAAAATATTGATACATTAAAATATCCCAATATCTTCATATGCTGATATATTGCCATTTAAAATCACCATATCAATCTCTTTTACTAATGAAATATTGCTATATGTCATCGTTATGCTACAAAATCCCCCGAAAATTCACGAAATGTTGCCATATTTTTATATGTTGATATATTGACGCGGTATCGATCTATTTTACTAACAAAATCTCACAAGAATTTGCAAAATATCATGAGAGTTTGTAACAGAACGATGAAATTTCACCAGATTTTGAAAGTAAAATAGATCGATACCGCGTTTTTAAAAATCTATTTGATATCAGCATATGAAAATATTTTTGAGTATATTATTTTTCAAAGTGTCAAAAATGGATAACAAAACTGCTATTTTCATGACTACTTATTTTTGTCCAGCTTTAACATCGGTATCGATATCGGTTATCGGCTACATGAGTTTTAAAATATCGGCATATCGGATATCGGCCAAAATCCCAATATCGTGCATCCCTAATATAAATAAAGTGGATTGGATTGGATTGGAAATGCGTACTAGGCTTGTCCCGATCCGATCCACGTATCGGATCGGGACGCCGATATTGGCAAAAAAATGCGTATCGGCAAAGCATGTAAAATGCCGATCCAGACTGCTGATCCAGTTTTTAAAAAAAAATCCGGTCCGTATTTTCCAGTTTCGCCGATTGAAACGATCCATTCCACTATTTTGCGCCAGTGTTCCCCTGTTTTGCATTTTTATTAAAACTTACAGTAATACTTGCACCTTTAACTGTTTACGGTTTTACTTTTCACTGTGCAATTTCAGATTGCTATTCATAATTTTGTCCAGTTTGTGTTTATCTCTTAATAAACAGGTAAGTTTGTTGTTACCAATCATTGTGTTTTATTCAATCTCACCTAATTCAGCTGGCTAGATGTTATCAAGAGTACTAAAACCCTTTTCAACATGAGTCTTACAACTAAGGCTAAATACTTTAACTTAAACTTAAATACATGCTCGGATAGGCTGGTATGGGCCAGTATCGGTATCGGATCGGAAGTGCAAAAACCTGGATCGGGACATCTCTAATACGTACAAAAGCCAAAAACCAGCCGCTACCGCCCACAGCATGTGTTGGAAATGTTGGTGTTTCTTTGAACAGAAGGCCGTAGCAGATTACATCATAGTTTCTCTAATTTGACTTCATATGAAACTTTAATCTTAGATCAACTTTATGGGATCTGAAACTGCAGCGTGATCTCTGCCGGCTGATAATAAACGGTTCCTAAGCAGCTGCAGATGTTGAAACGTTTGTTTGCTACTGACCTGACTTCCTCCTGACGCAGCCATCACTCCCATCCTGCTGGACGCCCTCACCGACCCGTCTAGGAGGACACAGACGTGTCTCCAGACGCTGCTGGACACCAAGTTCGTCCACTTCATTGACGCCCCCTCCCTGGCCCTCATCATGCCCATCGTCCAGAGGGCCTTCCAGGACCGCTCCACAGACACTCGCAAGATGGCGGCACAGATCATCGGCAACATGTACTCCCTGACCGACCAGAAGGTTTGTGGCTTTCTCTCCGGTTCACCTCCCCGAGGATTTCTTCTCGGGATGATCTATGATGTCATTCCGCCCTCAGGACCTGTCGCCCTACCTGCCCAGCGTGATCCCCGGCTTGAAGGCGTCTCTGCTGGACCCGGTGCCCGAGGTGAGTTAAATCAACGCATTGCTGCCTTTGTCTTCGTAGGACGTGTAAACACGGCCTCCTCGTCCCCCCGTCAGGTACGAACCGTCTCCGCCAAGGCTCTGGGCGCCATGGTGAAGGGGATGGGGGAGTCATGCTTCGACGACCTGCTGCCCTGGCTCATGGAGACCCTGGCCTCCGAGCAGAGCTCCGTGGACCGCTCCGGCGCTGCACAAGGTAGGTGGTCCTCCATTGGACGTGTGCTGCTCCTCTGTGTCTCTGTAAACGATCGTGATGATCCTCTCAGGCCTGGCTGAGGTGATGGCCGGACTGGGCGTGGAGAAGCTGGACAAGCTGATGCCAGACGTGGTTCAGACCGCCAGCAAGGTGGACATCGCTTCGCATGTCAGAGACGGTTACATCATGATGTTCATCTACCTGCCCCTCACCTTTGGGGATAAGTTCACCCCCTACGTGGGCCCCATCATCCCCTGCATCCTGAAGGTGCCGCCCGCTCTCTGCTCCGTCCTGAATGCGGCAGGTTTTTCTCCTCCTCTGTGGTGTGTTAGCTAAAAGCTGTGTCCTCCAGGCTCTGGCTGATGAGAACGAGTACGTGAGGGACACGGCGCTGCGAGCCGGCCAGAGGATCATCAGCATGTACGCCGAGACGGCCATCGCCCTGCTGCTGCCGGAGCTGGAGCAGGGCCTGTTTGACGACCTGTGGAGGATCAGGTCAGGACCGGCCGCAGTGCCGCCAGCCGTCTGTTCCGTAAACGCCGATGACTGACGCTTCTGCTGCTCCACAGGTTCAGCTCAGTCCAGCTGCTGGGAGACCTGCTGTTCCACATTTCTGGGGTAACGGGAAAGATGACCACGGAGACCGCGTCAGAGGACGACAACTTTGGCACCGCTGCATCCAACAAGGTTTGTAGACTTTCCCTCCTGGATCCGCAGCCGATTCCAGAGGTTTGGTGTCAGACGGCGCTGTTCTTCCTCCCGTTAGGCCATCATCTCTGCTCTGGGAGCAGAGCGGCGGAACCGGGTGCTCTCCGGCCTCTACATGGGCCGCTCTGACACCCAGCTGGTGGTGCGGCAGGCGTCGCTCCACGTGTGGAAGATCGTCGTTTCAAACACGCCCCGAACGCTCAGAGAGATCCTCCCCACGCTCTTCTCCCTCCTGCTGGGCTTCCTGGCCTCCACCTGCCCCGATAAGAGAACGGTACGGGTGCAGCGCTCCGTCTGGGTTGGGTCTGCGCACAGGGTGTGGTTAACTCTGCCGCTCTGCCCGTTCTTTAGATCGCCGCTCGGACGCTGGGCGATCTGGTGAGGAAGCTGGGCGAGAAGATCCTCCCGGAGATCATCCCCATCCTGGAGGACGGGCTGCGCTCCGACAAGAGTGACGAGCGGCAGGGCGTGTGCATCGGGCTCAGCGAGATCATGAAGTCCACCAGCAAAGACGCGGTACTTTAACGCTCGCCTGCAGAACGTCCTGGAGGCGTGGTTAGGCGCTGACGAGAACCTGATGTTGCTAACAGGTGCTGATCTTCTCCGAGTCGCTGGTCCCAACTGTGAGGAAGGCTCTGTGCGACCCGCTGGAGGAGGTCCGGGAGGCGGCGGCCAAAACCTTCGAGCAGCTCCACGCCACCATCGGCCACCAGGCGCTGGACGACATCCTGCCCACTCTGCTCAAACAGCTGGTGAGCAGCGGGGGAAAAAGGGGCGGGGATAAAAACCTGAAGGACCTCCTCTAATCATGTGGTCTTTCTCCAGGCGGATGAGGACACAGCGGAGTTTGCCCTGGATGGTCTGAAGCAGGTCATGGCTGTGAAGAGCCGTTCTGTGCTGCCATATCTGGTCCCAAAGGTAGAGGATCCGTCATCCGTTCATCTGCTCTCTGACTCCAGGATTAACCCCTTAGGATTAAATTCCTCCTGAAATTACATCTGTAAATTAAAGCAAGTTCAGCTCCCAAACTATAAATTGAAAATACAATCGTTTGTATTTGTAACAGAAAAGCATCGAGGAATATCTTTCAGGTGGAACCGCTATTCTAAATGTCAGCATGTCTGATTTATAGGTGGTTAAACGAAGAAAAAAATTGAAAAATATTTAGTCTGGCCAGATTTATTTTTCCCAAAATAAACTCTGCAAAAACCCATGAAAGCCCATTTGAAACTGGATGAACCTCACACTTTATAGATCCACATCTTGACTATAAGTCAAGCAAATCTGGACTGAATAAATTGAAGCATGTTTGTTCCACAAAGGTTTTAATGGGTAGTGAGCTAGGTGGAAATTGGATTTTTTTGCACAGTGCCAAAATTGGCCAAATTATACAAAAAATGCCTGTTTCCTCTCATAAAAGTGAATCTGGTCAGACTAATATGCTGATTTCCATTATTGGAGACCTTCAGCATGAGGCAAAGCCTTTGGTCCTAAGATTTAGTCGTGGTTCATTGAAATTTACCAATAATTTCACCAAACTGAATAGAAAATAAGAATAACAGAGCAGCTTATGGAACGCATGCCGCTTACATCACCTGAAATGGTCGTACAATGACCTCTGACCCCTCCTTGGACAGGGTTCCCGCAGGTCCTTAAAAAGTTTTAAAAGGCATTGAATTCTTCAAAATAAAACTAAGGCCTTAATTGGTATTAAAATGTCTTAAATCAGTCTTTCCTAGGTCTTAATTTTTAAAACATCATAAATAGGATTATTTTTATTACAATTTATGTTAGTAATTTAAATAAAACATTAAAATTGACAATATTTTTTTTATTATTTAAAGAACAATAACCTCTCGCCATTATTGGTTCCGTCCCGATAGGTGAACCAATAAAGCGTTGTTGCGGCCGGGACATTTGGGAGATGCGCCATTAACTTTATGTCTGGAAAATATGAGCAAGTGTAAATGTAACCAAAATTGTCTCCAGCCAAGAGTTTCCTCCATGGCTAAAACCAGGGAACATACATGAGGCTCAGTGGATTTAATGCAAGAAGTCATTCAAGCTCAGAACGATGGGAATGAAGGCAGTGGAGTCGCACATGCGAAGCACGAAACACAAAGCGTCAAAATGGAGTTAGAGAGAAACAGCCGGTATTTCTCAGTTTAGTTCCACCCTTGTCTCTGCAACGCCTCCACTTATCACCTAATCAAACATACTAAGAAAACCATAGAAAGAAAAATAGCTGCAAAAAAGACTTAGCACTGGTTATGTTGGGGCTTTAAAACTGATTAGTTTTGTTCCCTGCTAAAACAAAGTTTGTGAATTCAGTTAAATAATTGTTCAAATATATCTGTCATTTGTGTGTTTTTAGCTTTCTTCCTGTATGGGAAGCTTTTCAAAATTTGAAACATTAGTGCAGTGGTTTATGTTAAAATAATCCTTTGGGTTACGTTGTCGCAAGCAGGTTTTTCTTGTGTTTCTTGTAAATTTTTATGTCAAGTGGCATTAAAAAGTCTTAAGTCTTGAATTTAACTTGCCTTATGCTGTAGGAACCCTGTTAAAAAGGTCTGAGCCTCTAGTTTCCAATGATGCTGCCATTAGGGGGCGGGGCTAACAATGAATACCTGCTGTTGCGTTACTCCCGCAGAGACACACGTCAGGTGTTTTTTTAAAATCTCATTTAATTTGTTTATGCGGCTATAAAACAAAAACTATTTGTGAAAAAATTTATTTTGAAACATGTTTTAGAAACTTGGGACCATGTGACTGTTTCGGTCATTTTTATAAATAGATAAACATCAGCTGGTGTCAGTTGGGCCCTGTACTGGGTTCGAGGGTTAAGGGGTAAAAGTCTGTCTCCTTTGCTCCAGCTGACCGCTCCTCCTGTGAACACCCGTGTGCTGGCCTTCCTCTCTGCGGTGGCCGGAGACGCTCTGACGCGTCACCTGGGCGTCATCCTGCCCGCTCTGCTCTCCTCCCTGAAGGGGAAGCTGGGAACAGAGGAGGAAGCTCAGGTAAACCCGCCGCTTCTTCGGCCGTAGGATCGGATCGCCTCCTGCTGCTTGCTTTAAAGGACGACCTGTCTGCCGTTTCAGGAGCTTTGCAGCTGTCAGACCGTCATCCTGTCAGTGGAGGATGAGGCAGGTCAGAGGATCATCATCGAAGACCTGCTGGAGGCGACACGAGGCGCCGACCCTGGCCTCCGACAGGCCGCCATCACCGTCTTAAATGCTTACTTTGCTCGTACTCGCCTGGATTACAGCGCTCACATTCGCACGCTGCTGTCGGGCCTGATCCGCCTGCTGAACGACTCCAACACAGAGGTCCTCTCCCAGAGCTGGGACACCATCAACTCCATCACCAAGGTCCGTAGGGGGGGAGGGGCGTTAACATGAGGCCGGCGCCGCTTCCTGAATCCAGCCGTGAACTTTCTCCGTTTGCTCTGCAGAAGCTGGATGCTAGCAGCCAGCTGGCTCTGATCGACGACCTGCATCGAGACATTCGAGCCGTTGCTGCTGATGTCAAAGGTCAGCACCTGCCCGGGTTCTGTCTGCCCAAAAAGGTAAGAACTGAAACAAGAAAAAAAGCCTCAAAGGGCAGGGTTAAAGGTCACTGCTGTAGTTAGAAAGCTTTTTTAAAGCTCCTTAAAACAGGAAACCTTTCAGTCACAGATCTGTAGAAAAGAAATAACCCAACTGGTACAAGAGGTGGTTGAAGTTCAGGCCTGATTGACCACTGTTGCCTTCAGAGACGTTCATGTGAGAAAAACCTAAAACCACAAGACTGTGGCTCCGAACCAGGCCGGTTCACAGATGGCTGCAACTCACTGCTGCTCCTTTTATCAAATTCACACAGTTTGCAAAAAAAAAAGCATCTAGTTGCTTCCTGTAGCTTTGAATGAGTTCCTGGATCCTGGATGAAGGGATTTTTGATCATTCTACTTAGAAAAACAATTCCAGTTCAGTTAAGTTTGATGTTTGCCGAGCATGGACAGCCTGCTTCAAATCATCCCACAGATGCTCAATGATATTCAGGTCTGGGGATTGGGAGAACTGTTCCAGAACATTGGAATTGTTCTTCTGCATTAATGCCTGAGTAGATTTGGAGTGGTGTTTTGGATCATTGTCTTCCTGTAGTATCCATCCCCGCCGTAACTTCAACTTCCTGATTCTTGAACATTATTCTCAAGAATCTGCCGATATTGAGTGGAATCCATGCAACCCTCAACTTTAACAGGATTCCTAGTGCCAGCATTGGCAGCGCAGCCCCAAAGCATGATGGAACCTCCACCTAATATTACAGCGGGTAGCAAATGTTGTTCTTTGAACGCAGTTTTTTGCAGCCTTGAATAAGCCCTTTTTTTAATGACCAAACAACTCAGTCTTTGTTTCATCAGTCCACAGGACCTTATTCCAAAATGAAGCTGGCTTGTCCAAATGTGCTTTTGCAAACTCAAGCGTTTCTGTTTGTGGCGTTCTTGCAGAAAAGGCTTCTTTCACATCACTACGGTGGCCCTGAAGTGCAAACTGCAACTACAAATCTAAAACCGCAACTACATTAAGAAAAACAAAACTACTTAAAGCAAAGCGCAACTACATTAAGGAAAACACAATTACATTAACCAACCGGAAAAGGTAGGTACCAGTGGGAAACGTGAGACATCGCTGATTGGACGACGGCGCCGTTTGACCCTTGAACCGGAAGTTGCGTCGTCTGAACAGTCCAGCTTCAGTGTGTCTTCAGTGTACGCAAACTTATGCAAACTCTTAATGTAGTTGCGCTTTCCTTAGTGTAGTTGCGCTTTGCTTTATGTAGTTGCGCTTTTAGATTTGTATTTACAGTTTGCACTTCAGGGCCACCGTACATCAATCTCCCATACAGCTTCTCCTGGTGCAAAGTGAGCTGAATTGTTGAACGATGCACAGTGACACCATCTGCAGCCAGATGATGCTGCAGGTCTTTGGAGGAGGTCTGTGGGTTGTCATTGACCATCCTCATCATTCTTCTTCTCTGCCTCTCTGATCTTTTTCTTGTCCTGCCACTTCCTAGCTTAACAAGAACCGTCCCTGTGGTCTTCCATTCCCTCACTATCCTCACAGTGGAAACTGACAGTTTAAATCTCTAAGACGTTTTGGATCCTTCCCCTGAACGACTATTTTGAACAATCTTTGTTTTCAGATCATTTGAGAGTTTTTTGAGGCGCCCATGATGAATCTTTAGAGGAGATTCAAACAGGAGAACAACTTGCAACTGGCCACCTTAAATACATTTTCTCATGATTGGCTATAAAGTTCAAATCTTAATGAAGTTACCAAACCAATTTGTGTTTCAGTAAGTCAGTGAAAAGTAGTTAAGGGTATTCAAATCAATAACATGATTTCGGTACCCACATAGGGTGACAAACATTGTCTTATTTCAGGCGTATTATCTAAATACCTTATTTTGAGAGTAGAAAAAAATTAATTCCATTGGCAAATAATCTTATTTAAGGGTAAATACACTTAATTGAAGACATTCTTAGTTATTTCTAGATTGTTTTTGCAGCTCTGAAAAATTTGTTTGCTGCCACACAGAGAGAGTTGCAGCTAGAGTAGAGGTTAGCACCTTTTCACTCAAAGGTTTCACTAAGATCCTGCATCAATTGACGTTGGACAAGCACGCTTTAAGTAAAACATTTACAAGCTGCTGGTTAGTGCAAAGCAAAATCTAATATTCGGTAAAAATATTCGCAATTTAGATTCTTGGCGAATGGTTTTTTGCAGCGCTGAGACGTAATTTCTGTGTGAACCCAGGGTGTGACGTGTATCCTGTCAGTCCTGAGAGAAGGCGTCCTCACAGGAAGCCCCGAGCAGAAGGAGGAAGCAGCCAAAGCCCTGGGCGGCGTCATCAGACTGACGTCTCCTGAAGCTCTGCGGCCGTCGGTCGTAAACATCACAGGACCTCTGATCCGCATCCTGGGAGACCGTTTCGCCTGGACGGTGAAGACGGCTCTGCTGGAGACCCTCACCCTGCTGCTAGCCAAGGTCAGGCTGCTTCGCTGCTGAGTCATCGGGTCAGCAGAGCGTGCGCTGTGCGTGTCTGACCGGCTGAGTGTCTCCCTCAGGTGGGAATCGCCCTGAAGCCCTTCCTGCCGCAGCTGCAGACCACCTTCCTGAAGGCGCTGCAGGACTCCAGCCGCGCGGTGAGGCTGCGGGCCGCCGAGGCTCTGGGTCAGCTGGTCTCCATCCACACCAAGGTCGACCCTCTGTTCACCGAGCAGCTCTCCGCCATCCGCAACGCAGAGGACTCTGGAGTCAGGTGGGTGTCTGAGCCGCCGTCGCCTTTACTGATCCTTGAAATCAGAGCTTTGATTTCATAGATTTTTTTATTAATCAGTTCATAAAGCTTCACAGAAGGGGTGTAATAAAGCATTGACATGTGAATGAAACCATTAACAGTTACATCAGGACAGTCGCTGGATTGATGCTGCTCCATCGAACCGACACCTTTTATAATTAATATCAATGTTTAAACGGTACATAACATCACATGGTTAGGTAACCAGTGACTAGTTCTAATTTATAGTTACTGCACAAAGCAAATAGTTATTAGGAAAAGTAACTAAAGTAACTCTTAATGATCTAAACCGTCTAACTGCTGTTATCAGAAAATGTTGGACGTTTCATATTAATTAATGAATTAGATAATTAAATATAAGGTTTCAGGCTCTGAAAACATTGTTTACTAGTCTATGTGTTTAGAAAGTGAGCTGCAACATAACGATGTAGCTGGGATTAAGATTTTTGTTCGTAATAAAACTTGAGCTAAAAAGAATCAGATGAATCGAAAGATTATTGAAATAATCGTCAACTAATTTAGTAATCAATTAATCGTTAACTGGAGTAAATAGATTCTAGCCCCATTTCCACTACTCTCTGAAAAACTGAACCGTGCCGAGCTTGGTTCTTTACGACCGTTTACACACCACGCTAGCATGATTCCTCGCCTCCTACTGGCGATCTACAGTACTACTGCTCTCTAAAGGGAAACAAATCAACATGGCGGCGCCCATAACATTCAGGAAGTTTGTGTAGAGTCGGGCGAAGAAGGCAGCCGTTGGTAAATTTACTTGACAGTCAGCTTTTGGGAAGTGGATACGACTGATGAACTAGTTAGTTATCCTCCTGCAGCAGCGTGTCGCAGTTAGCAGTTAGTATGACGCAGATATTTTTCATTTATGCCCAATTTTGAAGCGTCGTCTGCTCCATGTTATTCCATGCTGTTAAATGAGGAAGTTATGTCCCCTTGAAGGCAGTTGCGCCTCGGGACTTCCCTTCCGGTTCTTTTCCTGGGAGCAAGTTATTTACTACTCTTAACTCAAACTGGGTAAAACCATATAAAAAAGGACTATAAAAACAGGAGTAAAAAATAACAGAGTTTATTCCAGATCAGGTCGTTACAGGACAGGGAATAATACTTGGAGCTTGCACAGCTGTGGGCTCAAAAATCACGTCCACGAGCGTCCGGCAAAGATTGCGCCCCGAACAAGGTCATCTTCTCCTTCTTATAGCTCATGAGCCTATGTGTTGGATCAGGTGGATGTTTAGCTGTCCGTATCAGAAACTGACACGCCATCCATGCCCTGACCTGTATGCATCTTGCCTATATGCCCAAGAATTACAGATAGCTTCCCTTTATTAGACCGGCTCCAAGATGTGCCCATATCCTGTGTATCTTTAAAAGACAAGAAGGCTGTCCTGATTAGATGACCTCCTTACACGCAGTGACATCCACAATGCGAAGGAAGGCCTTCTACTCTCTCTAATCTGGCTAATAAAGTAACAATGCAATTGAGGTATAAAGAATAAACCTAACAACGCCGCAATGCAGGAGGGACAATCAGGAACCAGCTGGGATTGTGGGCGTCTGTGTGTCGGTTTGACGAGCTTGTTCGCTGTCTACAACCCCTCATCCAACGCCGGACGACACACAGTCACCCGTGAGTGTTCCCCAAAGACTGACCGTGGCACTGCCTGTTTTGGCTTCGGGTGCAAACCTACAGACCGTCGCTCAGAGCTACAAGCTAGCTTCCTGCACGGTGTCTGGGATAGAGTCTGAGGTGTGCCAGGTTTTGTAGACGACATTACATGTACACTTGCACCTTAATCCTTATTAATCTTGATATACTGTATTTTTTGTTTATTCTTAATTCTATTCTTTCATTATTCTTTTTCCACCTTGTTTGCACCTTCTTTAACTACTATGCCAATATGTGACGAGTAAATTTCTCCGCTGTGAGATCAATAAAGCTCATCTAATCTAATCTAATCTAATCTAATCTATAGCCAGAGTTTCTGCCATCAGGTACCAAACAGGAAATACGCATAGTGTGGAGCGGATGTAGAATTGACCAATCAGAGGCCTCCTTTCTCTCCTTCCTACGATGCTGTCTGCGGCACTGTCTGCGGTCTCCTACAATTTTGGCGAGGTGCACCAGAGTGTCTGCGGAAGGTGCGGGGGTATATTTTGCGTTAACTGTGACACACGCAGACAACCTGGTTTCTGAGCATAAACCAGGCTTTAGCTCTGTTTGGTTATGTCTGCCGCGGTCCGGTTCAGTTCTGCGACACAACAGTTGTCGCGGTTACCGTGCTTGGACGGATCTAGACACGGTTTCAAAAGGTTAGTGTAAATGGGGCTTCTAAAACCTGTTATCTGACAGACGAACCCGCTTAGAGCAGTAATTATCCCAAAATTGTGAAGAATGTATTAGGGATGGAACGGTTTATGAAAACCGTCCGAACCGTTCGGTTCGACTGTCTCGGTTCGGTTCGCTTCATTCGGTTCATGCGCTGCTCCTTTTTCCCATAGGCGAAGCGTTTACACTCCAGAGCAGAAGGTGGCGGTACTGCGACCAAAGCCAACCACCAGTAGTAAACAAGAAGAAGAAGAAGCGAAGCAGCGTATCCGGCTGTAGCAGAAAAAAATCAGCTGTTGTGGAGAATTGTGTGGGTATGGCGAGTGGGAAAGAACAGGAGTTGGAAGACGCGCCAGCAGCACTTAATAGGTCTGCTGTATGGGACCACTTTGCATTTAGAGTGACCTACGATGACGGCGGAAAGAAAGCTGTGGATAAAAGTGCAACAGTGTGCGAGCATTGTGCAACACGTTTTGTTTATGCTAACAGCAACACGACCAACATGTCAGGCTAACAATCAACATATACCGAACCGAAAACCATGACCACGAAACCGTGAACCGAACCGAACCGTGGATTTTGTGAACCGTTCCACCCCTAGAATTTATAAATGTTTTGCAGTTAAGATAAAAAGAGTGTTTCTGTCTATCAATCTGCTCTATCTAGAACTCCTTAAGTGGAAAGGTTTTAGTTTCGACAGGTTTAATTTAGTAAAAAATCAAATTTTAGGAACCTTTTGCTATCTGATTATTAATCGAAAAATAATCAACAGATTGATCAATTTGGAAAATAATCATTAGTTGCAGCCCTAATAAGCATTTAAGGCCTTTCTCCTTAAAGCCTGGTTCTGGTTCTGCTGGAGGTTTTCCTCTCCACTGTCACTGCATACATGCTCAGTGTGAGGGATTGCTGCAGAGTCAACAACACAATGCAAGGAATTATCTAGTGTCTCCATCCTCATCCAGCAGGAGAGAAGGCTGCACCTTTAATCTGACTGGGGGATCTGATTGAACTAGATCTATAAGGTGTGAATTGACGCTACAGAAATGAACTGAGTTATTTGAAGTATGCAGACTGATTGACTCATGGGTTAACCTGATCCCCATTTATTCATGGATGAACGCACCCACAGTCCTGCTGATTTTCTGCTTCGTGTCTCGTCTTCGTTTTGAAGGTTCATTAGTAACCTGACTTTCTGACACCGATGACCATAAATCTTTGTGTCGCCTGGTGGCTGTTTGTGTTTGCAGGGAAACGATGCTCCAAGCTTTGAGGTTTGTCATCCAGGGGGCCGGAGCCAAAGTGGACCCGACCATTCGAAAGAACATCACCAGCACATTACTGGGCATGCTCGGACACGACGAGGTATGTGAGCACGGGGCGGACGCCTCGCAGCGTCAATCAGAGCCGGAGACGTTCAAGCTGTGGCTGCAGCTTCTGGTCGCTGTGAGAAAAAGACTAATAAGGAGAGCAAACGCATGAAGGCAGTTTGGAGGAGCTGCTGCTGCAGAGGAACGCTGCATTTTCTCTCTGATCGCTGCAGAAAAACGGAAGCCAGACAAAGGATGTGGTTTTCTGAATAGGTGGTTTTGACTCTTCATGTCTCTCTGTAACACAGAGCCTTTCTCTCTGTCTGTCTGCAGGATGCAACACGTATGGCCTCGGCAGGCTGCATCGGCGAGCTGTGTGCCTTCCTGTCAGAGGAGGAGCTGAAGACTGTCTTACTTCAGCACGTCTTAGGTTAAAAAGAATAAAATCAAATTGTTTTCATATTTAACCCAAACTTTACTGCACTTTTGGAGACATTAATAAATAATACACATCATGCAGAGATGAGGAGAATGCTTTGAAGCGTAGAAGCTTTTGTAGTCTGGGTGTTTTTACTCCGTTCTGATGCTTAAATAGATCTGAATTAAAATTTCCATTCATCAAAAGCAATCTGATGTAGTGAAGGGGGTTTAAGGTCACTTTTGCTGCTTCTCTTCTGTGATTGGCCTCTATTTGGCACCGCCCGCCTTCCCTTAAGTCAGCCCACAGCATAATGCTGCCATCACCATACATTGCCGTCCTGTCAGCTCGTGTTTTTTGCAGGGGAAACGGCAGCCTAAGCACAGAAAATAATCTATTTTAAGTAATGGTGGTTTCCATGGTGACCGAGGTTTCTCTGGCTCCCTTCAGCCGACGTGTCTGGCGTGGACTGGATGGTGCGTCATGGTCGCAGCCTGGCCCTGGCCATAGCTGTGAAGGCTGCTCCCGACAGGCTGTGTGGAAAGGATTACGGTGAGACGGTGACAGAAACCATTTTGACCAACGCCACAGCTGACCGGGTGAGAACGCAGCAGCCGCACGCCTTCCCGATAAACTGGATATTTTATGGAATTCTCCTGGTGACCTCTGTGGGGTTTCCTTGTTCTCCTTCCAGATTCCCATCACTACCAGCGGGATCCGCGCTTTGGGATATCTGATGAGGCATCATCTGCGGACGGAAGGAGGCAGCAGCGGCGTCTCCCAGCGCGCCGTCCCCCACTTTGTTAAGGTGAGACACAGACAAGCCGACACATTTGGCTGGTAACCTCAGTCACTTCCCTTTTTTTTTTATTCCTGCAGGTGAGGAAAAGTGGGAAGTAGGTGAACAGAAATGATCCCGCTTCCGTTTGTCTGACCGTAAATGACCAATGATCTGTGGAGGAAAGTTGCAATCATTTTGAGATGTTTGTAGCAGCGCCAATAATCAGGAATCCTGATGAGAATTAGAAAGTCCAAAGTTACACTGTTTTTTTGTAATTTTTTGCTGAGCTAAAGTCAGACAAACGTCTGAAGGGATCTGAGAAGAGTAACAGTTTATTTATTGCTGGGGTGTAACTGGATCCGTCTCACCAGTTTGGTGCAAACTGAGCGGAAAGTTACCGGAGATTCTCCTGTGTTTCCTCTCTTTTTTGGGGGATTAAAAAACCACTCTGGGGATTATGGTCCTAAGAATAAAGTTTCTACCTGGATTTAATTAAGCAAATATGCATGACCTTCTAATTGGAGAACGGCTGCATCCTGTAGAGGAAATGTCCTATGCTGCGTCCAAACTAGGGCTGAAACAATTAATCAGATTAATTGATTATTGAAATAATCATCAACTAATTTAGTAATCGATTGATCGTTAACGGGAATATAGAGACTGTAAAACATGCCTTTAGCTGACAGAGAGAATAGAATCGAAAATCCCTTTATTGTTCCACAATGAGGAACTTGTTGGCAGTAATTATTAGCCTCGTGAGACCATCCTGATCTCGCAAGCTTTCAAGGTTTCACTCGCAGATCAGTCTGGAGACTCTCCGTTAAAGAAAATTTGGAGCCGTTCACCAAAAGAACGTCCAATCAGCGTTGGCTTTGAGGCGGGTTGAGGTGTGACGCTACGAGAAGCGCGACAGTTCAGTCTAAAGAACATGGCGGCTTCAGCCGATGAAACTAGCGTTAGCGTGGCTATCGAGCAAGTTTTATCGGAATTACAGAGTATTTCTTCACTGAAAGAAGAGCAAAACACTGCTCTGGAGGCTTTTCTCAGAGGAAAAGATTTTTTTGCTCTTCTCCCGACTGGTTTCGGCAAGAGTAGCCTGGCTGTTAGTCCGTCATATGCTTCGTTGATCTGATTGGTTTATTTGGCCCGTCTATCACCAACATAGGCCAATCAGCCAACCAGTATTTTCGCCCCTTCCCAAAATTACTTCTACGGAAGGTTTCCAGATGGATATGTGGAGCAAATCCATCTGCATTTAAGTCAACATGCCCTGTCCAAAACTCCTCAAGTGGAAAAGTTTAATTTCGTAAAAAGTGTTCTTTAAGGAACCTTTGGCTACCCGATTATTTATCAAAGAAATAATCCACGGATTAATCAGTTTGCAAAATAATCGTTAGTTGCAGCCCTAATCCGAACATCCACCCAACTCCTAAATCCCTCCATCACTCTATAGAGCGGGGACTTTATCCTAGACTCTATAGTGAACTCAGTTAACTGACCGTTCGGACAGATGATCACTATTTTTCGCTCCCAGTTGGTCACGTAACTCTCCTCCACCAAGTCATCTTTATTTGTCGCCAACACAAAAAATCCCATGATGCTCTGTGAGGAGAGCGCTCTCAAAGCATTCTGGGATATATCTTCTCATCTAGCCGTGGATGATCACTTCTTTTCAAGGTGTATTGTGGGAAATTTCAAGTCCAATACTTTTTCATCCACTAGACGCTCGGACACTGGTTTAAAATGGCGTGACCTATATGGTGATTAGGGCGGATGTTCAGACACAGACTATCTGCTCCACAGAGGTCAAGTGTGAAAAAGCAGAAAGTACCAGAATCAGGTTAGGAATTATAAAGAATAATCAGAGGTTGGATCCTGTCGTCGGGAATCATTTCAACGTTTGGTGAAATCAGAGAAAAGCATCAGCAGAACTCTGGGTTTGTTTGTGAAGAATCTCAATCATCCAGGTCATTAAACCAAATTAAACCAAACCCAGAGTTCAAAAAAAGTAAAAAAAAAAAACAATAATCCCCAGGACTTTCTTTCCAAGTTTGAAGACGTTTCTCTTCCATCCAGGAAGATTTTTCAATTCAAAATGTCAGAAATAGTGTTGAGTTCCAGGTTTTATCCAGCAGCCCAACAAAGCCTGGTTTTAGTTTAGAAAACATGCAAATAGAAACGGATGAACGGGTCCACCGCTTTGGAATGGGGGTCGTTGGGCTTCTTTTGTTAGCCTGCAATGCCCCATACCTGTCTATGTCTCTGAGACTATCCTCTAGGGCTGGGTAAAAAAAGCAATTTAATCGATTTTAAATCGATTCCTTTACATTTTTGCAAAATCAGTTTGCACTTCTGAGACAGTTTTGTTCACATCTCAAGTTTAAACTGTCCGATTTACAAGTTTGCACTTTGTGTTTAATGTGACAGGAAAAAAATAAAATATATGAGTATTTGAAACACAGTTGAACCACTTATATTGTTGTAAAAACAGATCGAATCGAAATTAATCTATTTAGAACTTTATGAATCAAAATCGAATCGATTCAGGACTTTGGTGAAAATACCAAGCCCTACTATCCCTAATTTCAGAGACTTAGACAGGTAAGGGGCATTGCAGGCTAACAAAAGAAGCCTAACGACCCCAAAGGGGTGGACCCATTGGTCTGTTTCTATCTGCATGTTTTCTAAACAAAAACAAGGCTTTGTTGGGCTGCTGGATAAAACCTGGAACTCAACACTATTTCCTACATTTTGAATTGAAAAAACTTCCTGGATGGAAGAGAAACGTCTTCAAACTTGGAAACAAAGTCCAATGGATTCTTTTAACTGTTTTGGAACTCTGGCTTTGGTTTAATAGGTGAAGTTAGAGTGAAGTGAAATGGAGGGATGTAACTGAATGGGTGCCTTTAAAGGCATACTATGCAACATTTTTCAGTTAATTAATGTGTTCCATAACGTTTTGGATGATTAAATGAGTCATTTCAGGTTGAACAAAGGTATTCTCGGCTGCCCTGGTGGTCTGTGGGGGAAATACCGCACTTGCAATTGCAGGAGCCCTCGGCCCGCACCCACAGGCTCAGAAGTCTTGCGAGAGTCGGTCTTGCTTTGCGGCGAGAACTGCTACACGCCCCCAGTGAAAGGCATGCTCATTGCTAGCGCAGTGGCGATCTTTGTGCAGTTATCATGGCGGAATTAGCAAGAATTTTCAAACTTGAAAATTGGAACAAAATAGTCACTTACCGCAGTAGTGATGGTGATTCGTTGCGTTCGCCTGTCTGCTAAGCTCAAAACAACCGCGCCTGGAGAACAGCTGAGCATATCTACGATAGTGCACTTTTACTTTCGCCCTCTGGGGGGAGCCTCGCTGGAAAATCAACACCGGTTGCATAGTGTACCTTTAAAGATAAAAAAATACACTAATTGGTGAAGCTAACCGGGAAAAAGACGTCCGTTTGCTCAGAGATGTTGGTTCCACCATCCTGTGTCTGTTTGAGGCATGAGTGGAAACATGTTGCTTTGCGTCGTGTCAGAGCCTTAACCGCTCAGTTTCATCCTAAAAATGAAGGAAGTTTGTAGAAGAGTTTTCTGACGGGTGCTGTCTGTGTGACCCAACAGTGTCTTCAGAACCAATCCAGTGACATCAGACTGGTGTCGGAGCGAGTGCTGTGGTGGGTGTTCAAAGACCCGACTACTCCCACCATGGAGGCCGGCCTGATCAAGCCGCTGCTGAAGAGCCTGCTGGACAACACCAAGGACAAGAACACCACGGTCCGAGCCCAGAGCGAACACACCATCGTCAGCCTTCTGCGGCTCCGCCAGGGAGAGGAAACCATGCAGGTGGGTCCCCCGCTTTACCTCAGATCTCCGCCAGAGTCTGAGACTAACCGCCTCTCCTTCCTGATCACCAGAGCATCACTGCCATCCTGGACTCTGCAAGCAACGACCTGCTGTCAGAGTGTCACCGCCGCTCGCTGAAGAAAATAGCCAGCCAGCCGGACTCCAACGAGGAGATCGACGACACCATCCTGACCTGAAGCAGCAAGACTGGAGGATGAAAGCGAAGCTACAGAGGGTTCATCGATGGCGTGAACCAGAACCCAAACGCTCTCCAAACATGCTCCCTTTGAACCAGCGTGGGAGGAGGAGGAGCAGCTCTCCCTTCCCTCACGTTTCTGCAAACATTTTATTTTATTTTTTACCTTTTGTTTCAGCGGCCTTTTCCTGATCCTAACTTTCATCTGGTGACATTAGAAAGACGCCAAATCTGTGCTAGTCCAGTGTTCTGCTACGTCTTTTACCGAACCGATCGGAAGCGTTTAAGATGTAAGGAGTAACACCCCACCTTTGGTTTTCTTTGGACTTGACATGTGGGAAACGTTTGGAGGATTTGACCTCCTATTAGACAAATCAATCTAATCTGTGACTCTTGTAAAAAAAAAAAAAAACAGAATAAAAACAGATTCTTCTGTCTGCGTTGGTCAGAGGTCAGTGGGGCTAAAACGGATTCTATGTAGCACATAAATCACTCGCATCCACCCAGACAGGTGACACCCTGCACAGGTGAGCGCTCCATCGCAGAACAATCAGTCCTGAGGGGGCGGGGGTGGGGGGGGGGGGGGGGGGGGCGGGGTGAAGCAAACCTCCTTAAATTAAACGTTTCACTTAAAGAAATCTGTGTTTTGATTCTAGTTGTTTTCCAGCTGAGGAAAAGGTTAAAAAGTTTAAACCCTGAAGTTCCTGAAAATCAATAACTGGAACTAAACCAGTAAAAGATTGGCAGCATCTCTGACATGACCCTGAATCTTTGCTCCTCCCTTCTACATCTGAGATGTTAGAGAAGTTTCTGATTTTACAGCCTGTTTCAAGTCACCCACAGCATCTGATGCATCGGCTGCTTCTCAGCCTGGATTTCCTGCTGGTTTGTTGGGTCTTTTTCATGCTGCAGGGTCCAGTTCTGCTTCAGCTTTAATCTGTTTTTGGAGAAGTTCTCTGGTTTCTCTCCGACACGCCGCATAATTCATGATGATCTCTGTAACATTAGCTGGATCTGTTCTGTTGGCTGTGCAGACAAACAGTTTAAACACCAGAAGCAAAAACCTGCTTTGAGTCTTGCAGTCTTTCCTTGGTGGGAACCTGCTTGACGATCGGACCTTTGCATGTCGGCCGTTGTTCTGATTTGTTTTATTTTCATATCAGTGAAATTCTTTCCAAACCATCTTCCCTCTGAAGCTGTTTAAACCTCACTGTGGTGTCCGCTCTCTCTCCAACAGTCAGTATCGTTCAATCAATCAATTTCCAAATCAATTTAGAGGATGAAGAGAGCACAAGCAGTTAGTCACAGTCAGAGAAACCGGACTAAACACTGTAAAAAAGGCCAAGCTCCAACATCTAGAAACAAAGGTGTTGATGGCAGCAGCACAGCTGATATTTCTCTCCAGGATGGAGTCACAGCCAAACAGGAACAGACCAGATGAAGCTACTATGAGAAAAAGCAGAGAGAGCAGAACGTTATGGCAGACATACACGGTGCGATATTTTTTATCGTTGCACGCAGCTTCAGCTCAAACTCTACGATGACACCGCAAGGTTTAAAAGCTTCCAGCTCAGGATGCATGTTCTCACACCGCAGCCTGATGCTCTGATGCAAACTTATGACGGCCGACTGAATTTTAAACGTTTGATTTGCTCCCGACCTTATGATTCCTGATAGGGAGGCGGTCATGAAAGGCAGATCGCCTCTCGTTACCCTCTGTATGCAACACGACAACGCTGAAACGGCCCAATCAAAAATTCTAGCACGACTGGAGAATCAGCCCGGTTTTAGAGGTTGAACTAACAAACACTGTAGAATGGGAGAATAGAGTTAGAATGATGAAAAGTGGTCCCTATCTCCTCCAGCAGTCTAACCCTATAGCAGCACAAATGTAGGAAATACCTCAGTAACCTAAGTATTTTTAATGAGGTATAAGAAAAATGGAGCCAATAAACATGGGAATAAATGACATAATTTACCTTTTTTTATTGTATTTCCACGCTTTATTTTGTTTTGTTGAAGATTATCAGAGCTGATGTTTAAACATTTTAGATAAAAACAGCTTCCTATTGGGTGTACTTGTTTTTTGTTGTTGTGTTTTTTGGTTAGGCTAAAGATGACCCATCTAGAGGTTTTATGAAACAATTTTATAGGAAAACATAAAGCAGAACTGCAGGAAATGTTCCCCATTTTAAGATGAAGCTCAGTCAATAGACCTAAATTTCCTGTTCGGACTTTTATTTTCTGAAAGTCTCACTGAAATACCAAACTTGGTGTTGATGACCATGTCTTCCTGATGACACCGACATGAACAACCAGTTCAGTCGTTTTCTAAATGGCAACACAAAGTGGGTTTTATTTCACATGTATAAACATCCAGCTGGTGATAAAGATCTTAAGTTCTCATAATCAAGTATGGATTGGTTTTGTTTTAAGCATTTGTTGGAAGCAAGAGCATCTAAACTTCACTTTCAGTCACCGGTCTTCCTGGAACCAGAACCAGTGCAGAGTTTTATGCAGATTCTCAGAAAAAAAAATATTTCATTCTTTAGATCCATCTCTATTATATGGAAGAGGATTAGGGTCACTGAAAAAAAACAAAGTTTACTGATTTTAAAATTTCATTTTAGTATAATATGAGTTCTGACAGCGAATGAACATGTTAGCGTCAAGCATTATGTCTGTTTTAGAGACTAAACAAGCTTCCATCATTTTCCACCAATGTGTTCCTGTTCCTCCCAAACATCTCCCATCTTTATCAGCGAAGCTGAGTGCTCCACATCTCTGCCTTCATGGTGCCCATCTACATTAAGGTCCACAATTCTGAGATTAAAGTCTCAGTATTAAACTGAAATAATATTCAAAAATCAGTTAACTTTTTTAAATTCTGACAATAAAAAAAGTCAGAATTCTGTGAAAAAAGTCAAAATATTGACTTTTTCCCATACTAAACTGAAATAATTTTTAAAAATCTGTTAACTTTTTTTTCCAGAATTCTGACTAAATTCTGACAATAAAAAAAGTCAGAATTCTGAGAAAAAAGTCAGATTTTTGACTTTTTCCCATACTAAACTGAAATAATATTTAAAAATCCGTTAATCTTTTTTCCCCCAGAATTCTGACTAAATTCTGACAATAAAAAAAGTCAGAATTCTGAGAAAAAAGTCAAAATTCTGAGGAATAAAAGTCAGAATTTTGACTTTTTCCCATACTAAACTGAAATAATATTGAAAATTCAGTTAACCTTTTTTTTTCCAGAATTCTGACTAAATTCTGACAATAAAAAAAGTCAGAATTTTGAGATTAAAGTCAGAATTCTGAGAAAAAAGTTAAAGTTCTGAGAAAAAAAGTCAGAATATTGACTTTTTCCCATACTAAACTGAAATAATATTTAAAATTCAGTTAACCTTTTTTTTTCTCAGAATTCTGACTAAATTCTGACAATAAAAAAAGTCAGAATTTTGAGATTAAAGTCAGAATTCTGAGAAAAAAGTTAAAGTTCTGAGAAAAAAAGTCAGAATTTTGATTTTTTTTCCCTTCTAAACTGAAATATTTAAAAATCAGATATCAGTTGTTTTTTCCAGTGGCCCTAATCCTCTTTCGTAATATTATGACTGGTTTTTATCTAAGGTGAAATGATAGGATGTATGTTTTTATTTGGTAGTGAATAAAGCATAAAGTGTGTAGTGATGGTGGCTGAGTCGGGCTCCTCCGGAGCCTGCGCAGTGGGGCCGGCTCTCACTGGGTGCAGCTCCCACTGAGAAGGAAGCAGAGTTTCCGTCTGTTTGCAGCGGAGCGAGCGGGTTGGTGACGCCGAGAAAAACGCCACCGGCTCGGGGGCTCGTCGTTTCAGGCTTCGGTAGTTTCCTCTTTTCTTATCTGGAGGAAGTACATTTTCTACGGAACCAGGAGGAGCTGAGTAGAAAGCCGAGCGAAGAAGCTGCAGACGGCGGAGGTTAGCCACCAGCTACCGGCATGGCCAGGGACTACGATTACCTCTTCAAGCTGCTCATCATCGGTGACAGCGGTAAGCCGACACCGAGGATGCGGGACGGGAAGTGGGCCGCGTCGCATTTTTTCCTGGTATTTTATTAAATGGGCGGATGGATAAATCCAGCGGCGCTCTGTTAACCTCTGCCCGGACTCTGTTACTGTGTCTATTTGTTCAGCATTAAACCGAAAATAAAGAGGGAAATGTACACATCCGCCATGTTTCAGTGACAGGGCGGAGGTTGTGTGTCCGGACTGGGCACGTCAGGCCGGATGCCGCCTCCACACCTCCTGGCTCTGTCTCCCGGTCCGTTCGGTTGTTGTTGTTCAGTTAGTGAAGCTTTTATTGGACCTCTGGACTAATGTCCTCCCTTTGACCCAGTGGCTCCACCGTAGCGGTCTGAAGTAGGAGCCTTTTGGCCTCCGGCTGTAGCTGCTGTTAGCTGAAAGCTAAGCTAACAGCTCTGATTCATACTGAGCTAACTAAAGCGCTCCTTATTACCACGGTTTTCTGTTATGATGTTAACTAAAAGCCTGCTGGATTTGTGTCACGAGTCTGTAAAGTTGACCAACTTGCAGGAAGTTGTTGTAACGACTTAGTTTGGTTAGCTGGTTAGTGGAGGTCTGAGCTGCCTGTTGGTGGAGGAGTTCAGCACTGCAGCTGCTCCATAGAGCTGCCCAGACTGAGGGGAGGAAAACAGCACCTCTTATTATTATTATTAACTGAATATCCAATTCAGTTTATTTCTATAGCTCCAATTCACATGTCATCTCAGGTCACTTTCCAGTTCACCAGATCATCCAGTCAGATTGATTCAAAGTTTTCTATCTAAGGAAAACCAGCTGATTGCATCGACTCATTGACTCTTCAGCAATCCCTCACACTAAGCTTGCTTGTAGTGACAGTGGAGAGGAAAAACGCGTGTGAGCGATGGCCGACTGGGGTTCAAGGAGACAGAAGCAGACATAGAAAAAGAAGCATAGATACAAAAGGTAACAGTAAAAGGCTGCCCCGTTCAGGAAACAGGCAGGCCAGCTCCCATGTCAGAGGATGAAGAGAGCACATCCAGTTAGTCACAGTCAGAGAAACAGGACTACACTGGAAAACAGGCAGAGCTCCAACATCTAGAAACAAAGGTGTTGATGGCAGCAGCACAGCTGATATTTCTCTCCAGGATGGAGTCACACAGCAAAGTGCAGTCAGTCTGTCTTCCTAACCAAGGGACACATGAGCTACAGGTGAATCTATAGAGCTCAGAGCGAGTCGTCTGGAACTAGGGGCACTTTCTAATTTAACTCCAGCCTCCTTTTAACCCTTTATAGGGCACTCAGTGAAATTAGGAAAGTAATCAGCTCTTGTCTTCTACTCCAATAGGGTTGGAGTAGAAGACAAGAGCTGATTACTTTCGTAAGATTCAAAAACATGTATATTTTGATGGCAAAAAATGAATGTCAATG